CCTGGCAGCAGCTTCAATCGTGTGTGGTTCGTCTTTCCTCCTCCCCCCCTCCCAGGTCATTGCGGTGTGCAAGAGCGCCGACTTGCTGCTGATGGTGCTGGACGCAACCAAGCCGTTATATCACAAACAGGTGTGGAGCCGCCGCGCACCGCGAAGAAGAGGGTGTCTATACACGTTTGTTCGTCCGTTCGTTCGGGAATTCGGGAATTCGGGGACTCGACTGCATCCGCATCGGCAATGTGGCAGTGTGGCGCGCACGTCGTCGGCCGGGCGCCGCGCTCGATCCAGAATCCGCACTCCTCCACACCTTCCTTCCGCTCCCCTTTTGTGTTTTGAGGCTTTGGCCAGGGGCGGCAGCAGCAGCTTCCTGTGAGCTTGCAAATGTACATGACATTTATTTCTCCCCCTCTTGCATCGACCCTTGGCCGCTTGCGTGCAGCTCCGCCCTCTTCCCTGCCCTGCCCTGCCCTCCCATCCCCTCATGCATCGGCGCCTCGAACCCCCGACATTCCCCCCTGTGCCTGGCCACCTGACCACCTGACCTGCTATCTGGGCCCGATTTTAACCCCGGGAGCCCCCCCCCCGAACCAATCGGGACAGATTCTCACTCGTGAGTTGGAGGCTGTTGGTATCCGGCTCAACCGGCAACCCCCCAACATCTACTTCAAGAAGCGCAAGACGGGCGGCATCTCCATCAACTCCACCATCCCGCTCACCAACCTGGATGATAAGCTCATTCAGAGGGTGCTGCAGGTGGGTGGGTGTCGGGGCTGGGTGGGTGGGTGTCGGGGCTGGGTGGGTGGGTGAGAGGGTGTGGCTGCAGCCTGCTTGTGATGCCTCTGTGGCGTAGTGAAGCCCGTACGACCTGTTTCTGGGGATAGGGGTTGCGTGTGTGTGGCTGCGGGCGTGCTCGTCCTGAAGAAACGCTCGATCTCTCCGCCGTGTCCACATCTCTCCCCTTCTCCCTCTGTGCCCTTTTCCCCCTTCCCCGCCCTCTCCGCCTCCCTCTCCCCGCCTCCCTCTCCAACGCCCAAAACCGCCTACTGGGCAGTTCTGCTTCTCTTTCCTTGGCAGCAGCTTCACTCGTTCGTGGTTTGTCTCTCCCCTCCCCGCTCTCCCCCTCTCCCCGCAGGAGTACAAGCTCCACAACTGCGAGCTGCTGTTCAAGGAGGACTGCACCGTGGATGACCTCATCGATGTTATTGAGGTAACGATGTCTCACTGCATGTGGGTGGCTGGGGTGGGTGGGTGAGCGAGCTGGCGAGGCGGGCCGGGGTGAGGGGAAGGGAGTGGAGGGGAGGGGGTCAATAGCACCCCTTGTTATCTATCCTTCCTTCCAGAGCACTGCACTGCACTGCACGCCCGACCGAAGACTGACCTCTACCTCTCTTCACTCCCCCCTTTTTATGCCTCAATCGCTTCACCTCCCCTCTCCTCCCACTCCCTACAACCTTCCGGTTGGCTGTTCTCCCATCCCCATCCTCACCTTCCTCCTTATTTGCTGCTTGCTACACAAACAAAAAACCCTGAACACCAAACAAAGGGCAACCGGCGCTATATCAAGTGTCTGTACGTCTACAACAAGGTGGATATGTGCAGTTTGGAGGAGGTGGACGAGATTGCCCGCTGGCCCAACTCCATCCCCATCTCCTGCTCCCTAAAGCTCAACCTGGGAGGCCTGCTGGAGCGTATCTGGGACATGATGGCGCTGGTGGGTAGCGCGGGGGGGCAACCAGCAGCCCCAGGATACCGCGATACTCCGTTGATACGACGTTGGCTGCATGTGGTGTGTGCATTTGCATTTCCCTTCCATGCACTTGTGCTGGTGACTTGAGTTGCTGCGGTCTTCAATGCATGCACATACACCCATAGACGTAAATCCACTCTCACACATAAATCCATCCACACATATCCACAGATCCCAAGCAAGCACGGTAACCCCAACACCACCATCACACACACCAACACCAACACCATCACACACACCAACACCAACACCATCACACACACCAACACCACCGCCATCACACACACCACCAACACCATCACACACACACACACCATCAACACCATCACACACTCACACCACCAACACCACCATCACACAACACCAACACCATCACACAACACCAACACCATCACACAACACCAACACCACCACGTTTTCGGATGGCTGTCCGTAGGTCCGGGTGTACACTAAGAAGGTGGGCGCCAAGCCCGACTTTGCGGAGCCAGTGGTGCTGACCAGTGACCGAGGGGGCACAACGCTGGAGGCGCTGTGCAGGCAGATCCACAACAGCATGGTGCGGGGAGGAGGGGGAGGGGGAGGATGTGCAATTATACGTAGCTGGGATTTCCGAGTAGATTTTGTTCTGGGGAGAGACGCAGCCAGGGCCAGCGCCAGCAGGAATAAGCTCCGCTGTGGATGAGCGGCTTGCTGGATAGCTCGTGTGAAGCGAAAGTTGTGTTTGTGCTCTCTCGCTCGCTCTCTCCGTGCGTATGTATGTATGTATGTGTGTGTGTCTCCTTTTCACTCCTTTTCACCACCACCCTTCCCCGTCCATCATATCCATTTATATGTCTGGTATATGTCTGCTTCACTCGCCAGTGGTTGGTCTCACTCCCCCCCCCTCACCCGCCCTCAAGAACGCCTTTTGGTCAGTTCTACGTCTGGTACACTCTTGCCCTGGCAGCACCTTCACTCGTTCGTGGTTCGTCTTCCCCCCACCACCCGTCCCTGCGCCCTCTCTCCCGCCGTCCCCCCCTACTTGGCGCCCGCAGGTGCAGCAGTTCAAGTACGCACTGGTGTGGGGCACCTCCTCCAAGCACTACCCACAACGTTGCGGCCTGAGTCACCAACTAGAAGATGAAGACGTGGTACAGGTGGGCGGTTAGATGGGTGAGGCGGGAAGGCGGGTTTACCGGGGGGCCGGAAATGGGTTGTTTCACAAAGGGAGGGGGGTAAGCGAGTAGCGATGGAATCGAAAAGAGTGGAATGGATGGAATCGAAACGACGGCGACTGCAATGAATGGCTGATAACGACTGAATGAATGGTAACACGACGAGTTATGAATGAGGTAACACGGCGTTGTCGTGAAGAGGGGATGGGTTTTAAAAGAGCATCACGAGGGAGCATTGTTGCGGAAATGTGTTATGTGTGTGCTCTGTGTGTGCTGCGCACGTGTGCATGTGGTCTGCGCTGTGTGTGCGTGGTGTGGTCGTTTGTGTGGCTTTTGAGTTCCGCAACGGTTCTGTTTTTTGGTGCCTGGTTGGGATTGTATGTATGCTGCTGTGGCCACGAGGACGTGTAGGGGGGTGTAGATATTTTTGTAGAATTTCGAATTAAGACCACGTACGTGTTGGTGTCATACGTGTTGGTGTCATGTGTCATGCTGGACCACACTGTATGAGTTGTCATGTAGGCACAGCACACACACACACACACACGCACACACGCGCACACACGCGCACACACACACACACACGCACACACACACACACACACACACACACACACGCGCACACGCGCGCACACACACGCACACACACGCACACACACACACACACACACACGCACTCTCTGTGCTGCAGATTGTGAAGAAGAAGGTCAACACGGGCGAGGACGGCCGAGGGCGCTTCAAGACCACCTCCGATAAACCGCTGCGGATAGCAGACCGCGAAAAGAAGCCCACGCTAAAGACGTGAGGCGGTGGTCTGCTGAGCTTGGAGCAGCGGCAGGAAAGAGGGGACGAGGAGCAGCGCGGGGAAAGAGCAGGGGGAGGAGGAGAACGAAAGGGTACCCGGGGAGGATGTCTGACCGAACATGCAGGGTGTTTTTGCCTCGGACGCTGGATCCTTGCTCCAAAGGCAGTGTTAATTCGGTCATCACCCCTTGAATACTTGTACGACAACAGTGTTCCGGGGTCTTAGCTGTTGGCGCGGCAGCGACGTTGCGGACTCACCCCAAGAGCCGGAACAGGCCGGGGATGGAGAGGAGTCTTGTTTTGTGTTTCAGGCTCAGTGCACAAACGCGGGTGGTGGAGCCTTGACTCGTGAGAGCGTGCGCGCGTGCGACGCCGCCCAACCGTGGGGAGAGCGAAGCTAGCGGACCTGTGGCTCTCGGCTGCTAAGGAGGGGACAGAGGCCCCTCTCGCGCCCCTCTCCCGTCCGCGGGAGAGAGCTTAGGCGGTCTTTCCGTTGGGGCAGGGCAGCAGCCCCTGGCCAGTGCCAGCCCCGGAAACAGATACTTGTAACCTACTTGCACACACACAGACTGGATGGCAGATTGTGCACAACCACATAACCAATAGGACGTGCGGCAGGTTAGCTCTTTCCTCAGAGCTTTTACCTTAGTGCCCTACCAGCGAGGCACGTACACAGGAAGTACATTTCCAGCCCCAAATGGTGGGTGGGATGAGGCCTGGGGAGCAGTGGCAGGTTTTGACTGCCCACTTCCCTCACAAGACGTGTACGACCCTATCATCACACCTCAAGGACAATCTCATCTGCCAAGGCTCAGCAAATGCAGCATTTTTTTCAGATAAGTCCAGACCCAGCCTTGCGTCGCTTGCGGAAGCTACGAAAAGAAGGCGTGATCGCAGCTGGTGGTAAAAACGAGCTTACGTGTGCACATACTTTGGCGTCTTGCACAAATTCAGAAAAGGATTGTTCGCGCTGCTTCTGATGCCACTGAAACAACTGCGATCAACTGGCTGAAATAGTTCCGGGCGCAGTGGAGACGGGGGATTGTAAAAAGGGGACGCTTGGGATGTACACAGGTGGCCTGCCCGCCGCCGGCACAGCCAGAGTATTTATTCGTTCCTCACCCAAAACAAGTCCACACCCTAGTCGTGTAGCAGTAGGGTGGAATTGGTATTAAGGTCCTTGCATACATCTTTGAGTTCATACGTCCTTCAGTTCATACACCAGAGCAGTTGGTTCAGCTGAGAGCGAGTGTGGCCCTGCTCTCAGCATGGTGGTTTATACAAAATCACAGTACCCGCGGCTCTACGAAGCTCGCCCAAAGAATAATCACCTTGCGCTATTGTGAGCCCAACCATCTCTCGACTCGGCTTAAGTAAGCGACAACCGTCGGAGGATGCCTTAGCCAATTGGCATCGCTTCTTTCATATCATGGTATTTCTCATGTGATGATTATTCTTGGCCTTTGCTTGCATGGCATCAGTCACGATTGTAAGCGACAGTCACATAATGCGCTAACGAACTGCCGATGCGGCATAGCGAAGAACAACCAGCGCCTCAGATAAGCACAAATAGATGAATCCTTACCAGCAAGAAAGATTGTATTATTGACATTAGAAGTCATTACAAGCTATGAATTTGTGTGGCAATGTCATCAGCTAATAATGGCGCTCGGAGAGCAGTTCCGCGAGCAGGCCTTGCGGAATGCCTTACTGTTGGAAAGTGCTCTTAGGTACACTCAGGCTTGACACTTCGGTAGTTTGATTAGTTGCTTTTATCCCAATACGACATCGAATCAGGATTGGTTACAGTATGCTTATATACTGCTTGTGTATACTTTCTCTCCCTCTCCTTGTGTAACGATATGAGCGAGTGATGTGTTCACTGAAGGACTCTTATCCCTAACACTTACAGCCGGATCATTTGCAGTGCTTTCTCTCCTAAGTTACCAACAACTCGCAGCTCCCCATTGTGTCGGTCAGCCTCACTCACTTCCGCCGAACTCTGTCGTCCTTGCTGGTTTCCCATGCCATGGAAGTGCTGTCGAGCGGATGTTGTACATGTGGAGGAACTCGCTACTGGTTTTGTGGGATTTCTGCCAGGTCAAGTTCGAAGACATATGGGCATCGACCGGACTGCTCATGATATGTGTGCGGTTCGTGGGCGCAATCCTGGCTCCAGCTTCTTTTTATTGTCAGGTGCGAGTAGTCGTATTTGGCTAATAAAGTGCAATGCTCCATCGGGAACTCCCGGCAAAAGAGCGCAGCACATTATCGTTTGCAGACAAGCGACGAAAGGGCAAAGGTCCTCCGCGCTGACAGCATTCTCCCCCAAATTGTAGGTGCTGGCGCCATTTACGATGTATTATGCGAGGTTCGTAAACACCACCTTCCACATCCTTCAAGGACCGCGGTACATGCCCAGCTACTTGGGCCTGCAAAGCCTCTTCAGTAAACACGCCCCCTTTGACGTCGCCTTCTTTTTGTCCCTCTTCGGAGTATGGGTAAGACGTTTGTGGCAACCCGCTCTTTCCCTCCTTCACCGCTTTTGGGATGTGTCTCTCTCTTCTCTTCTCCCCCTCTTCCCCCGTTGTTCCTCTCCTCTTCCAGTATCCCCCACAGGGGGGCCGTGCCCACGCCGGGCGTCCCACCACACCATGTCAAACACACATACTGCCATCGCCACACGTCCCTCAGGACACATCCCCTCTCTGAGCCCGTCTATGCGAGCTTCCACTCTTCTTTTCCTTTCCATCCTTCCTTCCTTCCTTCATTTCAAAAAAAGAAACACATGTCCACGCCAAGTCCCCATTTCCCCCCCCCCCCGCAGCGTGTCAACATGACCTTGGAGTTGTTTTACTGCGCCTGGACGGCCGTCGCAACTGCCGTACTATGGTACTGGTACCGCGAGTTGATCCCTGGCGTCAGCCTGCGAGGCCTTATGTTGACTCGCCTCCTGGTGACCCTGGCCAATATCTATTTGAATGCGTTTCTGAATCCCCGCAGCAGCCACCACCGTCGCCCAGTGCCGTTCCTGGGTTGGCGCAGGAATCAAGGATACGTCGCCGCAGCCGCAGCCGCCGCCGCCGCCGCCAACTTGGATGGGGGGTGTTTCAGCAAGACGGCGGCAGCGGCAGAGCTTCTGGCTGGGGAAAAGGCGGCAGAGGGGGCGGCGGCGGGAGCTGGGCCTTCCGGCCTGGGCTCCATGAGCGCCGAGGACATGACGTCGCAGCTAGGTGGCGGCAGCGGCGCCGGAGCTGCAGCTGCCTCTTATTTCTCTAATTCCTCGTATAAGGTCCTAGGGAGGGATAATGCCGCACAGGGAAAGAGTCCTGAGCCCGAGAAGCTTCTACGAATGCGGCCTCCGTCGCAGGCAGCGCCGTTGGCTGGCTGTACGACAGGTTGTGGCAATGGCAGCAGCAGTAGCAGTAGCGGCCATGGTGAAGAACGGGAACGCGGGGCCGCTGGCGGATCCCTGCTACCACCCCTAACGGCTAATGAACACCTTGCCGCCGCCGCCGCCGCCACAGCGACAGCAGCAGCACCAGCAGCAGCACGGGCAGCAGCGGCAGCGGCAGTAGCAGCGATACCCCCTGGCGGTGACGTGGCGGCCGCGGCTCGGGGGTTTCCGTACGTGTACCGATCCCCAGTTCAGCGTCGCGTCTTGCGGATGTATTTAGGGGAGATGAGAGGTGCCGGCGGGGGGGGGGGTCTTTGCCTCTAGTGCACCCCTCCGCTGCTGCGATGATGTGCGTGGTGAGACGGCACCCATTATTCCACCCTCCGTTCCTCTCTGGCCAATTCCTTCCCAGTGGTCTGTGAAAGTCAGCAATTCATACTTTGCTGTTTGCATCATGCCATTCCCTCCCTCCCTCCCTGCTTTTGCTTTCCTGTATACGTTACACCCATGGCCGCCTTTAAACCACCCTCACTCTCAAGCCTCTACCGCTGCAACCACTCTTCTGCTGCTGATGATGCCGTTGATGCACTGCTGCCGTTGATGCTTCTTCTGCTGTTGATGCTTCTTCTGCTGTTGATGCTTCTTCTGCTGTTGATGCAGATCCCATGGGCCGAGACGGAGCACTTATGTGAGGATTTCCGGGAGCGGCTGCAATCCTTGATTTCGGAGCAAGGCCTCCATTTGTCAGGGTTGTATGTACGACGTGGCTGCGTGGAGGTGGTCATGGTGCTTGAGGCGGTGTCGGTTGCGGCCGAGAAGGAGGCGGAGGCGGAGGAGGAGGAGGAAGAGGGGGAAGTGTGTGGGAGAGAAGTCAATGGAGGAGGAAGCGTGCCTCCGCTGCCTCTGCCTTCGCTGCCGTCACCACCACCAGCATCACCACCAGTATTATCACCAGCATCATCATCATTGCTGTCGAACCCCGTCCCAGCTGTCCCCCTAGTAGCCAGGCCCGGCGGTGCTCGGCCGCAGCGGCACTGCTGGGGCCCCCATTTGGATCTGAGCGCAGTGCTGCGGGCGCTGGGCTTGGAGCTTCCGCCCACTGCCGTCGAGGATGTGCCTGGCGGCGGTGGCGGCGGCGGCGGCGGCAGCAATGACAGCGGTACCGGTGACGGCTGCTGTATCGGGCTCTCGCTGACCGGTGTTGCATTGCCTGGACAGGAACAGGTACACGACCAGTGCCAACAGCATCAGTATACGCAGCAAGCTCAGCAGCAGCAGCAGCAGCAAGCTCAGCAGCTAGTCGAATGGGAGGATTGCGAGGTGTTGACGGGTTCTTGGTCACGGAAGGCGGCGCAGGGGCGAGGGGGGTGTCCGGAGGGGGGTGCGGCCCGCCTCCAGGTGACGGGACTGGCGCCGCGGGTGCTGCTGCTGCCGCCGTCGCCGTCGCATCCCTCCACGCCCGCCGCCGCCGCCGCCGGCCGCCTGCCCGTGCTGCGGATATCTGTGGCGCTGGGTGGAGGTGGCGGTGGCGGCTGCTGCGGCGTGGCGGAGCTGCCTCAGGGCCTGGAGGGATCGCAGCAGCGGCAGTACGACGGACAGCAGCAGCAGCAGCAGGAGGCGTCAAGGCGGCGTGCGACTGTGGAGGCGGTCTGGGAAGTGCTGGAGGTGGAGGTGTTGGTGAGGTCGGCCAACATGTACCTGCCTATCCGAGTGGCAAGCCGGGGGGTTGTACGTCGGGACAGAGGAGGCACCAGCGGCGTCATGGAGCCGTCAACGTCGCCGCCACTGTACGGCCGCGAGTACGAGTACGACATTGAGTTGTTGAGAGCTCCACCCGGGCCGGGTGTCGTGCTGGTAAGAGGTCGCCGTAAGGGGGAATGGCGGTCGTGGGCGCAACGGGAAGGCTGGAAGTGGTTACCTCACATTACGTGATGTTCAAAATGTCACTTAGCTTGGTAAAAATCGATTAGTAATATGTATTGCGATTTGAAGGGGTTATTGCTGCGTAACTGCCGACTCCCCGGGTTGGGAAAGGAAGAGTGAAAGGAAGTGAAGGAGGAGGAGAAGGAAGGGTGAACTCACCGAGTATGCATCGTGTTGGTTGTGTTTGGTTGTATAGAACAACAACATGGGGCTACGTGGCGATGAAAAGGGTTTTTGTTGGATTAAGCTACTAGGTGGGGGGTAGTTATGGGGTCCTAGGTGCAGATGGAACGCCGCCTTGGAATGGTTGTCGGTTGTTGGTTGATTCGTTGGTTAGTTTAGCTGCGGTAAAATACTGGATACCCCGCATGAATAAAAGTATGAACTCGGTTCCACCCCTCGGCCCTGTCCTGCCCTGTCCTTCTTTGACCCATCCGTGTCGCTGTAGCTGGAGCTTGGCTTTAAATGCTGCACACCAGCCGCAGCCAAAACTGCCGCCGGTGGTGGTGGTGGTGGTGGTGGTGGTGGTGGCGACCAGCTCCACCGCTCTGGAGTTTCCTCCTCAGGCCGTTGGCATCGCGTAATGTTGCCTATTTTGGCAACGGACGATGCGGCCGTAGCCGGGGAGCTGTCCGCCGCGGGTTCTTCCTGGCCTGCCCGTAGGTTGGGCGAGTTGGACGAGCTGCTGTACGACATGGGAACATGGACGGCGGCAGCGGCGGCCGCGGCGGGTGGTATCGGCAGGGCCGACGGAGATGACGATGTTACCGCCGCCGGTGCTGTACTGTCAACCCTTGGACCCCACTTGCTGTCGTACGCTGATTCAGCAGGCTTGGAAGCTACCGCTGCCAGAATTCGGAACGACATGCGCCCCCTCCTGGTCAAGTGCGGGCATAGCAGCACCGCAGCAGCCGGTGCTACTGCCGATGCTACTGCCGATGCTACTGCACATCCTACTGCAGACGCTACTGCAGGTGCTGGTCTGACACAGCGGGCAGAGGACGTCGCCATGGAGCATCTCGACACGGGAGATTCGACCCCCCTTGCCGCAACTGTGTTTAAAACGCCGCACTGGGGCCGTTTCGTTGAAGGAAGCGACAACTGCCGGGTTGTTGTTGTTCGTGTCAGTGGTGGGGATGGGGACGGGGGTGGAGGTAAAGGCAGGGGGCGGTGTGGGATGCAGCGGCAGCCGTGGTGGTGGTGGTTGGTGTTGAAGCGGGCTGTGGGGCTGCAAGCCGCCCCGCCTGATGACGCCGCCGCCTTCCGGGCCTTTGTGGACGCGTGGACGGACGGTCTGAGCCACATTGCGTGAGTACATGTCGGAACGGCAGAAGGGCGTGTTATGAAAGGCCAGGGGCACTTTGTGTGTGTATATGTATGTATGTGAGTGTGTATATATAAAAGGCAAGGCTTATAAATGGGCAGGGTGATGCGTCGATATGCCTGAAGTGCTTACGTAAAAACACGTGTTGTATGGTACGTGGATAAGCACTAAATCTATCCTCGCACATGTTGTCTCATGTTGCAACCAACCTAACGGGACCCCAGCTCCCTTACCTCACTCTTCCTTCCCTAAACTCCCCTCCCTCTTCCTCTTCTTCCCTTCCACTTCTTCCCTTGCGCCCAAGGCCTGTGCTAGAGTGCCTGGTGCTGCTCAGCCTCCTAGCCAGGGGTTTACGAGACGCCCAGCGGCGCCTAGGCCCCGAGCACGTGGTGCTGGTGGTCGGCTGTGGACTGGGCGCCCTGGCCACCGCGGCTTGGCTGGTGCTGCCCCACCGCCGGTGGGTGCGGCTGGTGCGGGCCAGCAAACTGCCCAGGCTGTTGGGCTTCTGCGCTTCCAAAGGGCTGCTGCTGGCGGGCCTGCCGGCCCCCTCGGGCGCGGCGGCGTACGCTGGCGGTCCAGGGATGGTGCTGCTGGAGGGGGTCATCCTGCCGGGGGTATGCCTGGTGAGAGTGCGTGTGTATTGACAGGGTCTATTATTATGCCGTCGTACGTATGCACACGCAAAAAGGTGCCGTAGAGGGGCGTTGCGATGGCAGGGCCGTAAGCTGTACGGCTGTGGGGGGCCCCGCCCGGGAGGAAGGGAGTAACTGGATCGGATGGGTAGCGGAGGAAGAAGCTCCATGCGGTGGTGTGGGCAGGCAGGGGGGGTATGGCGTGTGGGTATGGGTTATCGTGCGGAGGCCGAGGGGGAAGTGGGAGGGAAGGTGGCGACCGGGTGTGGACCGGGTCATGGACGTGAAGGGACCCCGCGTCGGTTCGCGTGTTGTGTCTGTATGTCTGTATGTCTGCATATGTGGGAGAACCAGCACCATCAACATAACCACAAATGCGTGCGAGCGAATCGGAATGAGAGCTCTGGCGCCCTTTTCCTCTCCTCCTCCCCTTCCTAACCTTGATGATAGCTCTGGCATTTCACATCCACGGCATATAAGGCCCCCGTCTGACCAGGCGGCTCGTGCCGTACTCTCCTCGGAAACCCCCGGATTCGGGTTTTGTTGTCCGTACAGGTCTCGCCCTGTACGGCCTTTCTCATCTCCTGCCTCAGGTTGCTTCTCAACTACCGGAGTACGTTGCTGATAGGAGCAGCGACCGGTGCTAAGACAGCGCTGCTGACCTCAGCGACAGTGGAGCTACTGGCGGTGACCACCACACTAGCTTGCCACTTCTATTTGCGGTGCCGGTTCGACCTGTGGCAGGAAGCAGTGGCAGCCGCGGCGGCGGCTGAACCTGGCGGTGTAGACAGCTGTGGCAGCTACAGCCGACGTGGCGGCGGTTGCGGCATAAATCAATCAGGAGCATCTGACGACGGAAAGCACGCTAAAGCGGAGTGATGACGTGATGCACAGAATAAGTAGAAGAAGAAGAAGAAGAAGAAGAAGCTGCTGCTGCTGGTGGCGGGAGGTCTGTTCTGTTGCCGTGTTACAGTCGGGGGGACCGACCGCGCTTTTCCAGTGTTGTGGGCACGGCTTACACCCAGTGATACACGGCAGATGCACAGGTGGCGCTCGTTGTCATAAATGATGCGGTCCTGAAGATTTCGCATTCCATGTGCAGTACACCACGTCGTGCAGTACAACATCGTGCAGTACGGCGTAAGCAGTCGCAGTCAGGATGGCTTTTAACATGGTGATATGTTGGTTTCCTTTTGTATTAAATGCGTCGTGGGACACATGTCCAGAATTGGGCCCTATGGCTATAGAGCATGTAGGCCATAGACGGGCCAAACCTTGTGATGTGAGGCTCGGGTGTTTAAAGCTGGAAGGCTGGAAGGTGTTTTGGTGGCTTTGGAAAGGCACAAAAACGGAGGGCAGGGCAGATCCATGGATCCTCTTCTGACGCCGTCATAAAGCACCTGTCGTAAGGGTTGTTCACATCCGTCGTCCTCGTCATCGTCCTCGTTGGGTGTGTTGCGCATGATGGAAAAAAACTTGACGGGAAGTTGTCATAAATTGCCCAACATATCAAGTGTGTGCCGTGTCATGTGCACCACAGTAATGGTAATGGCCCTGTTCCCAGGGAGCGCAAGGTCGCACGGGCTTCAAAAGAGATTGTTTCACATTGCTGAGAAGTTGTTGTTGAGTTTCCCTGAGTGCCCTGCTTGGGGATTGCAACGAAAAAGAACTTGGTCGGGTTCTTCGGATTCTTGCCGCTTATATGGTAGGGTAGGTCAGGTTAGGGGACTGGCTGCTTGCGTCAGGTGCGCGGAATAGCATTTTACTCTCGCATTTCATACTCGCATATGAACCAACGTATTTCTGGTTCTGGGCAAGGCGCTGCTGAAGTTCATTTCCAGAGGAGTGGCTTGCAGATAGATATTTGTGTGTGCTGTGCGAAGGGACCTCGGTTGATGCATATCTCCACTCACACACGGTGGCCATTGGTGGTGGTTGGTGGTGGTTGGGGCGAGAAAGGTGATATGTAATGTTACAGAGTAGGAGGCTTCTGGGCCGCTTTTATCACATTGTCAGTTCTACGATTTATCATCTTATAGCACCATCCACCACTACCACACTATACTTCGCCATACGAACTGTAAGTCCAAGGCGGCGGGTCCAGCCGTCTAGGACCCCTCCTCATCCATTCACCCGAACAACCGAAGAGACGGAGGGTTCGGCAATCGCCACCAATCCAGCGTGCGAATCTGGTCCATCAACTGCGACCTCAACTCCACATCTCAGCAGCTAGCCATAATCTCGCGCTCCCGACTAATTCGGGGGTCTCCCCAGGAATCGAACCCAGGACCTTAAACCGCGAATCGCAGTAGTGTCAACCCAGACCAGAAAGGTAATATATATATATATATATATTTTGCATCTGGCCGAGAGGTTCGTGCGGATGAACGCTAAGGAAATGCTAAGAAACCTTTCCTAAAGCGCAAAGGTAGAAGATTAAAAGGGCCAAATCGTTGCCCAAGCGTGATTCTGCAGTTGGCAGGTGCTTGTGTTGCTTGTCGCAAAATTTCAAGGTTAAGATTTTGGATTGAAGTCAGGGCTGCGAGGATGTATACTTCTTAAGTGCCGCGAACGTTCTGTGAGCTACCGGCGGGAATGACGTGATTGGAGGAGGGAGGAGGTTGAGCAGAGGGGTGTGTGTGTGCGCGGAACTTGTAACTTGCTTTCCGCTGCTGCGTTTGGGGACAAATTCACAGCCCAGTGGACTTTGGTGGGCTATGGGAGAGCACGTCACAGCTCTTCTTACGATTAAGCGCATCTGAACAGACAGCCAAAGAACAACCTATCCATCCAGCGATTATTGGCAACATAGAACACACAGCCAAAGAACAACCTATCCATGCACCTAGCACTCGGTGAGCCGCCCTCCGCTGACAACCTCCTCTCCTCTCTAGCAATATAGTACGACGCACACCGACGCAGTACAACCGCCCAGGAATCAAACAAATAGTACGGCATGTTGACAAGTGCCGTACCGCATAACCAGACCGTTTGTCAAGTCAGTATACACAACCCTTGGTGACTTGGAAGGCAGGCTCGGCAGCACCGAGAAATACCTGACTACCGTACGAGTTGTACGACACGCCATGCCGGCTTGCCTGCATCGCCGCGCCTGCTGGAATCATCAGCAGACCGACGCCTACGGGATGGACGGATCGGATCGGATCGGATCGGATCTGGCCCTCAAGAGTCAGAAAGATCCGTGGCGTGACGACGATAGAAAAAGTGAGTCTTGGCGTTCTGATGATGCCCACTTCACTTCTCTGCCTCCTTGCCTCCTCCCTACTACTTCCCCTCCTATGCGCACCCAACTATTAGAGCTACATAACTGTAATCCTTATTTTCCGGCACAAAAGCAAAATATATTAGACGTCCACACATATCTTGTCGCCTCCAAAATAAGAATCGGCGACCACCAATATATATGTATTATCGTACAGTCTCCCTCGCTCCATGCCAGGTCACGTACTGTGTGTAGTAAATTACAAGTTTGTACTTTTGCGTTTTTTGCTTCCTGCGAATGAAAAACTAAACAAAACAACAAACGTGTATTGTAATAACACGCACTCGTACTGCAACAGAAATGCCTTCGTTGTGCAACTGCTGCTCTTCGAGACGCACAAAATGAAGTGCCGCATGTTTTTTCGAATGTTGTTTTTTTTCCTGGTCATGACACAAGCCAAAAAATGCCACATTTGCAGCTACCTAAGCCTCTGACGACTTCCCAGTACTGTCGGCATGTCGGAATTTGTTAAACGAACAACTGAAATCGCTGCTCTTGCCAACACAAATACGGTACGGCCAGCGCTACAGCAGTACAATCGCAAAGGCGGGGTGCTCCAGGGCCCCCTTCTCAAAAGGGCCGTATCTTCAACTTGGAGGGGCAGTTCAACTGCTCTAGCCTCACGCAGCTCCACCCTGAACCCCGTTTCCATCAGCCTTTTGCTGCTTGCTGCTACCGCCGCCGCCGCCGCCGCCGCCACTTCCCTTTCCCCCGCCGCCGCCGCCGCCACTTCCCTTTCCCCCGCCGCCGCCGCCACCGCCGCCGCCGCCCTTCTGGGTCGCCCCCTTCCCCCCACCACCGCCACCCTCCTCCTCCTCGTCATCCCCCCCGCCCTGCGAACCGTGGTGATCCAGCATCGCAGAAATCCAGTAATTGTCGTCCCACAGCCTGTCGTACATTCGGCTGAAGAAGGCCGGGTCGTTAAGTACGGCATTTGGGTCGCGACCGTTGAAGCCCTTTAGACCCGCCAGCCGAGCTCGCAGCGTGCGCTGTCGCGTCGCCTCCGCCGCCTCTTTATCACGTTGCTCCTTCTGCAAGGCCGCCAGGCGCCCCAGCGCCCGGCCCTCCGCTTCCAAGCAGAAGAGCGTCTGGTAGCACACAGCCACGGTGGCGAGTGATAGGGGGTTTGGGTTAGGCTAACAGGTCTGTATATATGTATGTAAGTCGTATAGTCTCCAGGCCGAAGTGCATCAGTTGGCCCGTACTTATCAGGCCAGTACTAAAGGGCGAGAGGTCCCACATCATTTCCCATGAATTGGATTATTATCATTACATATTATCATTATATAATTATTTATTATTATAATTAACAATATTTAATTCTTTATATTATTATATATTATTTTTCGCATAGGATTGGATTTGGGTTGGACTAAATACAATTGCATCGCTGTCCATGGAGTTGGTGTCGTGAGATGCTGCAAAGTCAAGAAGGGAAAGCGACGGCAGCCAATCGACTCCAAAGTCGCAAATTCTTGTGCTGGAGGAGTGACTCCGGAAGTCAGCGTTTTTTTTTGCGGAATATATTCCGAATTCGGCGACCATCCAAAGTGGCGACACAACTCCTATTTGGTGACATCTGACATTTTTTTCGCGTCGTGTGCACCACAGTATAGTGTTGTCCGCAGCGTGTTCATGTCCTTCGCGTGGTGGGGTAAAAGGGTGTCGGGCTGCCGAAGACGTGTACTATAGTAGTAGCTATACCTCAAGAACCCTAGGAAACCCTAGGAAACAAATCCTCCTAATATCCCTTTTAATAATACATACAATAATATGATAATATTACATATTCTTACAATATTGATATAAAATTATAAATTATTTGTTATTTACTATTATATTATTTTGGATATCATTATTATTCCTCATTTCTCACCCGCACCGCCCCCAGCGCCTCCGGGTGGTCGCCTAGGAAGGTCCGCAGCAGCTCACATCCCTCCGTACGGCGCCCCGCCGCCGCCAGACATAACGCCTCCGAAACCACGTGCTCCTCGTGGTGCGGTTCTGCCACTCGCATCATACGCAGCACGCTTAGAGCTTGTTGTGCGTGCCATAACACCCGGGACTCATCGACCACCTGGACCGCGGGGGCAGGCGGAGATGAAGTGGGAGGGACAGACAGACAGACAGACAAACAGACAGACAGACAAACAAACAGACAGACAAACAGACAGGCAGAGGACGTGGGATAGAAGGAGGTAGGGGCGGAGAAGCCTCCAGCGCGTCAGTGTGGTGGACGGGAGGGGTGTTATGTGTATTGACCACCACGGCACCCAGTGTTTCACCCCGCCTCTTTCCCCCTTCTCCCCCCCTTAGCACACACACACACGTTCCGTACCTGCTGTCGCATGAGGGGCACCCAGAACACCTCACGCAAGTTCCGGAGCAACCGCATCAGAATTTCCACCTTGCCCACAGGCTCCAAATACGGCCGAAACCACGGCTCATTCGTCCCTTTGCCGTACATCACCGGCTCGTACATCGGCACCAGTTCCTCTTCTTCATCATCATCTTCTTCTTTATTGTCATCGTTCTTAATCCCCAAGCTCCGCAAAAAACTCAAACCGCCGTCGCCGTCGCCAGGCGACGGCGCCGCCGATGTGCTGACAGTGTACATCCCCACGGCGCCCTCTAGCGCCGCGCGAGCCGCTGCCGCCGCCGACAGCTCCTCCGGCTGCGGCAGGTGCAAATTCGCATGCAGCAGCCGCGCGACGCCGGCGAAATCGTACAATGCGCCGCCGTTGTACGGATCGATAAAGACCGGGTTGGTTTCGGAACCCAGATCCAGGGCCTTTACAAGGAAGTGCGAAGGCAACGACACGGCGGCCACACGAAGCCCCACTCTCTCCGCTACGGCGATGTACAACACACCCAAGGCAGTTGGTCCCCCTGCGGTTGGTTTCGGAGGGCGGCGGGGGGAGCGCGAATGGGTCCTCGGGTAAGCGACCAACAGGACACGAACCTGCAGCAGTTGGTGATCAGCCCTGAAGGTGCAAAATAACCATTTCATAGAAAGTCGTCGTCAGACCCCCTAAAGGGAACTGAAGGGAACTGAAGGGGAACCAAAGGCCCCTTTTTATTAAAAAGAAAACATCACCGTCAGGACGGGGTCTAGGACGGGGGGTAGGACGGGGTCTAGGAGGGGAATCATATGATGCAAGAAACTCAAAAGTGAACTGCCGACACCCCGCAGACCCCTAGCAGGGGGGGAGGAAGGGAATCCATGTCGCGTGAAGTGATGCGTGGAGTCCATTCCTTCCTCCATCATGACGTCATCATGACGTCATCTCAGCACAACCCCTAAAAGGTCAACAGGGGACATACAACTGGCGAGAGATGCAAGTCCACCGCCGCCCGGGGTGGGTGAGGGGTTGCTGAGAGTGCGGTGGAGTTTGTCGGATTGGTGTTGCGTTGTGTTGTGTCTTGTATTTAAATCCAGTTGAAGGGTGTCGGGTGACTCAGCGCCCCATTACGAACTCAGACACACCTACAGACAGACACACGCGCTCTACAGACAGGCAGACACGTTGACAGGCACACGCGCTCAGACACCTCCTCCTCGCTCCGGCCCCCTAAAAACCTCCTCCCCCCCGTCAGGGGCCCCGTACCCGTCTTGTATTGCAGCAATCGCGCCAGGGAGGACGATTCCGGGTGATGGAAACGCTCTTTGGATCCAGAAAAACGGTAGAAGTCGTACAGTACGCTGTTGATGCAGCGGACGGTATCCTCCGGCCCGAAGCCGGGTTTCATATGGCGTTGGACCATCGCAACCACAGAATCCAGACGATCAAGCTGTGTGTGTATGTATGTGTGTTTGTGTGTATGTGTGTTTGGGGGAACCGGGCCGAGGGGGGAAGGGGGGAAGTCCCGGGAAATTATTTTTTCGAGGGAATGTTTTAAAGGCCGGGGTTGCTTAATACGGACGTATATGCGATGGGCGGGTGAAGCTTATTTTATTTCAGTCATGGATTTAGATTGGTTGGTTTGGGGAAAACTTATGTCAGCGTTTCATGGGGTTGATTGATTAAATTAGAAGCCCAGGAAAAACGAAAAAGAAGGTTCTTGCAGGTTCTTACATAATCCGTATAATTTAGATCAAACTTTGAAACAAGACGCGGCAAAGGTAGACAGGACAGGTGCGAGAGCTGTTGCATCCAATCCACTGCAGAAATTGGCCAGTTGCAAAGTGTAACCAGGCGCATCCAAATGGGTTTAGCTATAGGATAAAAGCAGAAATAACCGTGACCGTTTCGTCTAGGGCCAATTGGCTGTACATACGCCGTACCGTCTGGGGGATGTTTTGATCCAGCGCCACCATGAGAGCCGCCTTCAACAAGTTGATCTGGGTCGCGTCTGCGCGATCGAGTTCCATTTGGAAGTCAAGAAAGCTGCGCATTGCAGCCAAGCCGTGTCGGCCGGCCTCATGAGGCGACAAATGGCTGAGCGACAAGTTCTGGCGTCGAGCGTCGAAAAAGCGAGAGTTGAAGTCAAACATTAGATGGTCGCAGTGTCGTTGCTCGCGGGGGCTGGGGCCTCGGGCGTGGGCGTGCGCATGTGCAACTTGCAGCAGGTCTGAATTCGGGGGGCCTGATGACCTTTCCCCCGACCGCCATGGCGGAAAGTCGCGGTGCGCCCGCGAGGGGCTGGCCGGGCAAAAGGATGCCGCGCCAACGCGGTACCTGTAAGATAACAAAACGTATGCTTTTCACGAACGAATCTTCTAGGCATGAGGAAGTCACTGTCTTTTTCTAGTGGGTCATGCGTTCCACGCGACGGACTTTGGGCAAGATACAGGAACCCCGGGCCGCGGAATTTTGAGCCGTGACTATGACATGTCCAATTAGGCAACGAAAGCACTGTGTTACCTGTAGCATGAGACGGAAACTTAATGAAGGGCTACCTGGATGTCTCGACAGAAACCCTTGCTGGCGTGGCAACCCGAGAACGCAGGCAAACAGCTTACCTCGATAGATGGCAGTGGCTTTGCATCCTTTTCAATAACTGCGATAGAGAATGTGCGAAGCCAAGAGTTCTGCTTCTACGCAAGTCGACTCCGAAACGCACGACAAGACACCCTACGATCCTTCAGACACTTAAGGTAATACGAATCCTGTTTGTAAGAGTGTCTCCTTTCCTTGGATTAGCTACCCAAAATTGTTTCTCCAACGGTGTTTGGCGGCACAGCAAAATTTGCGACTATAACTTGTAACTGAACTGGTCACCTAAGTTTCTTTAAGGAACGACCTTAAGGAAACGGCGATGTGCAACAACGCATTGCCCCGAGACCAAGATGATTGGGCAAATTCCAACCGCTGCATCCGAGCGAGGGAAACGGTGCCGCTGTCATATATGGCACGCTGATATCCATGCCGTATGGAGCGAACACTTTCTATTGCATTTGGACACTGGATGGGACTAGGTTTGAGCAATGAACGAGGAACCATGGAGCCAGCGGTTAGCTTAACAGAACCCAGGAGGCGCATGTGTAATGGCTGGCAGAACTCCATGCTTACAATACAGTGCTTTGGACATACAGCAGCTCTATTAAATAGATTTATACATATGTGCACAATCCTGCGAACATCCATGCCCATGTCAAGCCCATCACGCATCAGTGGCTTAAGAGTGCCAGGAGGCAAAGTTCCATTTTTGAGCCAACATACCACCATCGACACAGTGATTCTTCCTGCGCCATGATACTAACTGAATTAGGTAAGGGGTGCATCTAATAACCAACGCAAAAAACCCTGCAGCTTGAAATCTGCACTGCCACAGCTGGTGAGCTCCTGGTGGCCCTCGCATCCCGCAGATACCAGCGAGACATAAAATGTGAGCACGAAGAGCTTTCGCCCAAATGCAATGTAACTAGTCCCTTCTAGACTGCGGCCGAGCCATCCTCCGCCTTGCCGGTCTTGGACTTCTTGGGCAAGAGAACCGCATGAATGTTCGGCAGTACGCCACCTGCAGGGTGGGGGGTTTGCGGCCATGGGGGCCAGGGCGAAACGGAATGGAAAAGGGTAGAGCGAAGCTTAATTTTATAACGAGGAACACTCCAGAAGACATATGGGATGATAACTAGCAATTAAGCAAAATAACTGGTGATTACGGGCTCCTTGTGGAGGTACGCGGAGCTGCTTGCCTAAGCACGTAGGTGCATTATGGCTTCACCAACTGGTCTGCCGTTATTACAGTTATCCATCAGAGACTGCTCACCCGCAGCTATTGTCACGTCTCCTAGCAGCTTGCCCAGTTCCTCATCGTTACGGATGGCCAGCTGGATGTGACGCGGTATAATACGGTTCTTCTTGTTGTCGCGAGCTGCGTTACCAGCCAGCTCGAGCACCTCAGCAGTTAGATACTCCAACACCGCAGCAAGGTAGACAGGGGCACCAGCACCAATGCGTTCTGCATATTTCCCCTTCTTCAGGTAACGAGCAATTCGACCGACAGGAAACTGAAGACCGGCCTTTGCGCTACGGCTAACGGCCTTTTTGCCAGCTGATTTTCCTTTTCCGCGGCCTGCCATGGTTGCGCTGGGATTCGGGCAAAAAAAAGGAACGCGGCTCTCGCCGTTAATTTCGAAGCTCTAAACGAAAAGGGTTTGGTTCTACATGAAAAAAGTAGGGCATCACCGCACTCCTGTGCCGGAAAAGCAACCTTGGACCCATTGGCTCACCGGGGCAACGGTACAACAACGGCAATTCCGTACAAAGGTCCCGGTGAGCCGGTCCGTCTGGAATATAAACATTCACAATACTTTTATGCTCAAACACTGCTGCTTGCAATATTCCGCAAATTTCGTGCTAAGTAATTTTTGTATCAGCAAGAACCATGGCACCCAAAGCTGCTGAGAAGGCTCCGGCCAAGAAGACCCCCGCCAAGACTGCTGAGGGCTCTAAGAAGAAGAAGAAGATTAACAAGGCGGAGACCTACAAGGTTTACATCTATAAGGTTCTCAAGCAGGTAAGGGCTAGTATCCAGAATCTATGTGGTTCTCCTTGCGTCCTGGACTTTCTTACAGCTGCAATATAACGGGATAATGTTTGGTCCACTTCTCTAACATAGATATCCTTTTTCGGCGGTTTTGTAAATGGCTACTGTGCCCTTCTCCTCATCCATGCAGGTTCACCCCGATACTGGTATCAGCTCCAAGGCCATGTCTATCATGAATTCCTTTATCAACGATATCTTCGACAAGATGGCGAACGAGGCTGTCCGCCTGGCCCAGTACAACAAGAAGCCCACCCTGACCTCTCGCGAAATCCAGACGGCCGTCCGCCTGGTCCTTCCCGGCGAGCTTGCCAAGCACGCTGTGTCCGAGGGCACAAAGGCCGTCACCAAGTTCACGTCCTCTTAAGCGAATCAACTCATGTGATTCGGGGCCTTCTAAAAAAATCGGTGTTTCTCAACACCACCATCTTCAACAAAAGTAAACCGGCAGTTATATAAGAACGATTACGCGCAATGACCTGCTTAGTGAGGGAAAAGGATAGATTAATTATGCGACAGAAAGTGCTCGCACGGGGTGCGTTTAGAATGCATTTACACTTGTTTGAAGGTCGCGATTATGCCGGCACACCTTCCAAACTAACAACAGTCATTTTGATCTCTGCATAATTTCCTCTGGTCGGTACCCGGCCGGTATGATCTCACTACTCGAAGGGCGCCCTCCTACGATGGATTTCGGCGTTGCATGCTGGGCATCGGTACACGGTGTCCTTCGTGACATTAACGCAGAACGGCAAGCAGGCGCATAACCAGCAGCCAGATGCACAGAGCCCAACAGCAGTTATGCAGGCACACAGGCCCCCCTCCTGCGCAAAGGAATTCGATGGATTCATCAAGCTGAAGGAAAGACGTGAAGGGTTTCACTCTAGAAACACTCTTCGTATTCATGCCGTAACAACATCTCACCTTGAACGCCTCAGGAATAATGCGCCGGTGGCAATTGCCGCATAATACCTGGCCCGAACAATGATGGTGGTGTCGGCACACAACGACGGGTTGGGTGGCAGTCAATACTGGTGGGGCGCTCGGGGCCGCAGAAATGTACTGCTCGGGGGAAGCAGTCCCCGAACTGGATGGGAATATAGGTGGATACGCCGGTGGTGGATGCCCAACAATAGGATACCCGATCGCGGTGGAGGTGCCAGCACCTGCATGATGCCGGAGGAACACATTAGACTTGCTAACAGCAGGATTGCGGAACGGCTTGCTTGTCTACGAAAGTACTCGTTTACACCGTTGCCGTTGCGATGATGACTTTTTGATGCAAAGGTTAGCAGCGCTTATCCCGTTCCATCCGCACACACCTGAGGACGCTCTGGCTGGCGGATATCCGGACGCTGGAGGCGCCTGCAAGATGTAATTGTCATGAACTACATGCTTCCCTAAGTCTAGCACCCAGATGGAAGATGGGAGGGAATGCGCTCACCGTTGGTCCCTCAAAGCCCTCCTTCGGAACAAGCGGAGTCTGCAAGGATTCGCCCATCGCAATCCTATGAAATCATAGGCCTTTTTTTTATCAACAAGGAAACCTCGTTTGTAGGGCCATTCTGTATATGTCTCGTCCAAGAGTGTCGATTTGATCGTACAAAACCCTCAGGCACAGCCAAGCCCGATTAATTCGTTCAGAAAAAAGCTGGTAGCTAAACTGGATCTTAACCCTATTGCGAACACAAACATTCGCCGGGTAAACCGTAGAATTGACAACTGGCGACATCGAAGTGTGGCTCAAAGTACATGAACATCAGCAACTCGATATCCCTAGCGGCCGCAGACAAATCGGCAGACACGAGTCCGCGCCCTTTGTCCTTTAACCCCATAAATTCACGCCAGTCAAATTACAAGCCATTGAAGAATGCCCAATTCACCAACCCCCTTTTCTCCCTCCACATGATAAAGGCGAAACATACCCGATTCCCTCCATCCCTCCTCCCTCCTGTCACGTTGCGTCAAGCAGGCCTTCCCAAACCCACACGCCCGCCCGTCTTCACCCGCCTCGGCGGGAAGCCCTCCCCCGCCACCGTCCACCACAATCCCTCAAATCCTATCCCCCCTTCTAAATTCCCCACCCCCCCCGTCTTCTAACCCCTTCCCCTCCACATCCACCGCCGTCGACCCCCCGTCTCGGACAAGCCCCAGCCCCGGCCGCGAATCCACAACTCCCATCCTGCCAACCAACGCCATTCCCCGGCTCCTCGGTACTCTCCCCAGAACGCCCAAACCACCGACCGCTCCTAACCCCTGCTGTAAATCCCCCCCCCCCTTCCGGGGGGCTTCCTACTTTCCAGCGGGCCGGCGGCGGCGGCGGCCCGCTGGGTCGTGCAGCGGACTCTGCGGTGTCACCCTCCAAGTCCACCAGCGCCCGCGCCATGCCCTTGAGCACCTCATCCGCTGCCGTAACCTGCTGCCGTACACGCCGGATGCTATCACGCATGGTGCCCACTTGTAACGCTAGAGTCGCTTCCAGGGTGGCTCGGGCCTGTACGGCAGTGTGTGAACGGAAAAAGGGTTTTGGGGAGGCAGGTGAAGTCGCGCTGTCGTACGCACAACCACGGGTTTCGACGCTGCTGCGAACGGGGGGGGCCGTAGCTCACTACGCTCTGAGCTGTGCTGCTGCTCTCATCACTCCTGCGGTCTGGCTGTTACAGTTTGTTCGTCCTGCAGCCCTCCCCCTTTCCCTCTCCCCCTTTCCCTCTCCCCCTTTCCCTCTCCCCCTTTCCCTCTCCCCCTTTCCCTCTCTCCCTCTCAGCAAACCGTCCACCCCCTCCCAGGGCTCCCTGAGCCCACACGTTCCATCCGCACAGGGGGTTCCCCCCAGTCTACACCCCACCCCTTTCACCTGGTAAGCTCAACCCCCCCTCACACGCACCCCCACCTCATCTCACCTGGTAGGGCCTCATCAGGTTGGTTAGCTGCACCAGATTGGACAGCAGCACGTTGACGGGGGTCAGCTGGGCGGCGTAACTGTGGCATGGGGGGTGAGAAGGGGGGAGGGGGAGGAGGACGGGAGGGGAGGGGAGGAGGGAGGAGGCATTGAATGCACTGACTGCACAACGCCCAAAAGAAACAACCGCCGACGTCGAAACGGCCTTTCACCAATGGGTTTTCAGTTCAAATGGGCCGGGCGGGGTAGGGGGAGATGATGTACGAGGGCAAAGAAGAGGGTGACGGCGAAGTGAGGGAAAGGAGTCGTAGGGTGCTCTGAATGCCCGAACCCCGCCCAGCCCCTGGGCTTCACCCGCTGGGCTTCTCCACCACCGCCTTCAGCAACTCCAGGAACATGAAGAGGAGCTCCCCGGAGAGCCGCTTGAGATCACCCTTGAAGTCTGGAGAGGGGGAAAAGGTGTGTACGGCACGTACGGCTAGTGGAGGGTCACATGACGTTGCAAGAAGAATCAACGAATGAACACATGTCGACTCAACGGGCCGTCCTAAGGGGGCCGCCAGCGGAGGCGTCAGCTGGGGGGAGGAGGCGACGACACAAAACACACACATACAAGGAAACTTAGATCATTAAAGCACACACATGCGCGCGCGCCAGGCTGACACACAGGCAGCAGTTCGAATCGACCGTTGCTGGTGAACTCCCCCTACCCTCAACACCTACACCGGCAGGGACTGTGCATTGGCCCCTTATTTTCTACATACATACGGACCTACACAGGAACCCCCTCCCCCTTTCCCCCAAATACATACATACATACACGTCAGTGATGTGGGGGGGAATGTTCCGGAGCCAGGTCAGCTAGTTGAATAGAGAGAGATAGACAGACAGACAGACAGACAGACAACGAGACAGACAGACAAACGGACAGGCGCACCCACCTACTGTGCCATCGGGCTGTTGTCGAAACAGTGCTTGAGTGGTGAGGTTGGGAACCAGGTCTTCATGCTGCTCATGGCGGATGGCGGGTAGGCGGGGTGTGTGTTGTGTGTGTGTGTGTGTGTGTGTGTGTGTGTGTGTGTGTGTGTGTGTGTGTGTGTGTGTGTGTGTGTGTGTGTGTTTTGAAGAGGGGGTTCGGGGGAGGGGAAGGCGAGGTTGTGGGTTCATGGTTGCGATTGATCAGGTTGGTGCTGCGGACACTGTCCACCACTACCTGCCAGCAGAATCTAGCAGCAGCAGCAGTAGCAGCAGCAGCAGTAGTAGCAGCAGCAGCAGCAGCACTAGCAGCCTATCTTTTCGTTGGAAAAGCTCCTCTCCAACCGCCACCATCAGACGAAGTAAGCCGGTTACATAGATAATAATTTCTTACATAACCAGCCTGATGCTCTGCACCCACCAGTTTAAGAGGATTTCCAAGAACTTTGAGCTCAATTTTTCGCTCGCGCAAGGCAGCCACGTCAGCCAGCGTGGGGATGGGTGGTGGCGGGGGCGGGAGGGGAGAAACGCCGTCGTCCGGCCGATACAGGTTGAAGAGGGAGGGGGGAGGAGGATAGGCCTCGCGCATTGCAGCGCCGTTGTTCGCCGCCGCAGCCATGTCCTTGGGAGAGCCGAGGGAGACCAGCGCTGAGTACGCGGTACGCGACGGGTTAACTTGCCCTATAGGCGAAGTGCTCTATAAGCTTAAGGTGGTTGGGATATCAGGTTAGACTTCGTTATACAATGAAAGAGCGATACGGAATGAAGACGCAAAAATAATTCTGGGGACACAAAATTCATAACGGGCAAAAGTTACAGTGCTCAATAGGCTAACGTGGACGGTGGGCAAAACATATCATTTCTTGAACAGAGGTAGTCACTTCAACAAACGTTAACCGATATTGCGGAGACTCGTCCCGTCTACGACAATTTATAATGCGTTGTGTCGTGTCTGAGTGCACCGTTAGCAATATTGTTGCAATGATCACCTATCTCTCCTAGAGGTTATCCCCTTATAGTTCAGGTGGGGACCATATCATTTTGTACTAACCTTGAGCAAAATGCCTAAGAAAGCAAAAATTCGCAAGCCGAAGCATTCGCAATCCCTTCACGAGCAAATTGAAGACCCCGAAAGCTATGGTGTCAGGGTAGGCATATGGAGCACGCCTCGGCCGCCGCCGGCGCGGGAACGTGTGTGTCGGCGCATACATGGACACTGAGTATCTCTTTGGACGTTGTCGCAGACAAAGCCTCGGTCGGAAAAGAAAAGGCACCGGGCTGAAGATGATGACGACGAGGTGCGCTGGGAGAAAACCACTTCGGAACAAAAAGTCGGAGACATAAACTGGTTCTTCCTGCTTGTTTTGTTATGGAGTCATGCCGTTGCATACGACTACACCATTGAGCTGTGCAGAAGTGTCGGCGATATGTAGATAGCAGTGGTAGAGTAAGCCCTTATCGACAGCCTAGATGTTTCCCTTATGGCCCCTGTTTTGCCACAGCTTTTGGACGTTAAGCTCAGTGGCCGGATTCTTAAAGCGGCTCGGGAGCAGCAACAGGAGCTTGATGCGGAGGAGTTGTTCGACTTGGACCACGAAGGCGACAGTGATGGCGATGACGGGAAACTAAAGCGCGCAGCAGACCCGCAGGTACTTGACGCCTCCTTATTCCTTTGTTAAATGTCTTAATAATTATTAATATTCATTATTGTATGTCTGTGTCTTCAGTAAAAGATCTTCAACCGTGATTATCTAGCTGCCTCCTTAGCGCCTCGCGCGAGAAGTGTTGCAGCTCTTCTTTTCTGTTGCAAGTACGCATCCCTTTCGTGGGTTCCGCTATGCGAAACCATTGCAGGCCGCGCTTCGGGCAGCTCTCCAGAAGTTGGGGACCGGTGGGCAGGGCGGAAAGGGCGCACCTGACGATGACTCGGACGACGACTCAGAAGGGAGGGGGGCATTTCCCAATAACGATGGGGACGAGCAATACGACGAGGAGGAAGTCGAGGTGGGTGAAACGGCATGCATTACGTTAAGATCCGGAGAAGTGTGGATGTTCCTGTCTGGAAGGGGTGGGTGAGGAACTGTATGTAACTCCAGTAACTTCTGTCCTGGGCAGCATGTATGTTGCGGAGCAATGGCCCGCTGTGTGATTTCGTTTGTGTACTGTGTGCCGTCACCGTACCGTACATGATTGCAAGGACGGATAACGGCCATCACGGGACGGATGGACGGACTGTTTTTTCTCTGATTTTGGCAACGAAGGCCCGAATATTGAGGCGCAGGAGTTGGACCCGTGACCTCTCGCACCCCGGTAGGAGTCTTTCGCTGAAAGCTTGAATTTATACCACTGGACCAAACTCCCCGGCGAGATATATGTGGATTGGTGGATAGATTATTTCATTAATGGAAATGGATGCAATGTGCCAAGTCTGGTAGTTTCCCCCGTCAACGGGTGTATAGAATCAACCAGGATACCCTGGCCGGCCTTTATGCCGTACGATAGGTATCTGTTTGGATAGTCCCGGGAGGAAATTAACATCTGGGAGTTTGGTCTAGTGGTATGATTCTCGCTTTGGGTGCGAGAGGCCGCGGGTTCGATTCCCGCAACTCCCCTCGTATCGTTTATTGTTTCCCTCCTCGGGCTATGCAATCTTATTGTTCGGGCCGTTTCTTTTCCTTTTTTGGTGAGGGGGCCCTGGGCCTCTGCTGCCACGATCATGAATGGTTGCTTTTGTGTTCCTCACGGAGCCGCTCGAGGAAGGGCACAATTATGCGCTTTTTCGACTCGTCAGGGCTTACGGTTATGCGAGCCAAGGAAACGCCGCAATATGTTTCCATGGAATGGAAGCTAGCATTCGCGTAAGGATGCTGTCCCACCGAACCCCAAAACTGTACGTCCTTACTCTCGGTATGTGGACCGTCAGACCGTCATTCGCGGTTGAAAAATCTAGGCCTACCGAGCTCTAATGTTATCGCATGTGTTTGCCTTGGTATGAGGATCGTAGTGCATTTTCAGCCGGGGTTGGAAGCACGTGTAAGGGTTCGCGCAACAGCCAATAAAGAAGTCGATTTTAAGATGATTCCTAGCTCGATCTGATATTCAATGATCCGTTTAATTTTTGTGACATGGGTTTCTTGAACCACCACTGAACTGACGGCACTTTAGCATTTGCATTCCACAGGATTGTCAATTTTCCTGGGCATCGGTGCGGTCATAGCGTGGAATGAATATTAACACTAATCCTTATGCTGTTGAAATATTCATATGTCGCCTTCGACTGGTTTGGGATGTCGCTTCAACCGCTTTTGGGATGCAATGAATGTGCACTTCTAAGTTCGATGTTCGATTCGTGCTCTTCTGTTTCGGTAGTATCCTCTTTTTACGCAAAAGTGTTGTCCTATCTATGTCTATGAGTTTTCTCATTCCCGAGGTGTTGAGCGTGTTGGAGCAGGTGTTTCCTGCGATGGGAAGTAGTATGGTGGTCGCTTCCATAATTGCGGCATTTGGGCACGGGGGGCGACCTTGTCTGCGATATAGTTTAGCCCAGATGAATATTAGCATCTGGGAGTTTGGTCTAGTGGTATGATTCTCGCTTTGGGTGCGAGAGGCCGCGGGTTCGATTCCCGCAACTCCCCTGTTGCCTTTTTCGGGCCTCAGCCGAGTTGCGCTAGGATTTCATGCGGGATGGCAGGGATCGGGCCACATCCCACGCCATCAATGCCTACTGAAGCCCTTGCAGGACCTAGAACCTTTAAGGTTCCAAACATAGGATGTACGACAGCTTCCTGCTTCTGGAGCAGGATCGGGAGGGATATCGTACTCCAAGGCAAATGTTTGTGCAGTGCTTATGTACCATAAGTGACTTCTGAGCTTGCGCATAACTAAATCCTCTGTTTACTTTACCTGACATAAGTCGACGGCAAATGCCCACGGCGACCTCCGCAGGTCGACCCGGAGGATGAGCGAGCGTTGGCCGCCTTCCTAGCTCCGGAGGCGTCGTCGTACCGTCAAACCAGCCTAGCTGACCTGATTTTGGCTCGATTAAAGGAGCAGCAGGCTGAGCGGGGGCTCCCACAGCTGCCGGAGGAGGGGTAAGGAAGATGGGGTGCCGTACAGGACGGCAATACTGGGCTCTAACCACGGGATTTGGTGGGGAGGAGAGAGGCTCTGGGCCACCAGGGGAATCCGTCGCGATGGCTGTCCGAGGTTTTTTCTAACTTAGGCCGTTGCTGCTGCTGGTGCTGGTGCTGGCTGGTGCCGATGCTATGGCGTGTCTTTGCATGACGTGTCCTATGTACGACGTGTGCCCCCGCCTTCAGTGCTGACCCCGGCGCCGATCCGGGCCCCCTACCCGAGGGACTGGAGCCCCGGGTGGTGGAGGTGTACCGCGGAGTGGGCAAATTGCTGTCCAGATACACGACCGGGAAAATTCCCAAGGTGGGTTTGACCCTGTGGTGGTGGTGGTGGTTCCCTCCTCCGGGCCGTTTGTTGGCAGCATCAGCGTCAATGTTGGCGCTTTTACCTGTCTTTTACCTGTCGACGACGGCGACCACTACCTGCCTGCCTGCATGTTCTTAGGTCTGCGAAAGCCCAGAGAGTTGCGTTGGGGCACTTAGATCCTCAACCAAGCTCTCCCACCTTTTGTCTTGTTTGGAGGGAAGTCTTTTTGTCGTGATTTAATTTTTCGAGGCTGTCCCCTGTGCTCCCCCTTGCAACATGCTCGTCCTCAAGCCCACGTGCAGGCTTTCAAAATTATTCCGAATCTCCGAAATTGGGAGGATGTGCTCTACCTGACAGATCCAGGCAAGGACTTCCGATCGTCTGTGAATCAGAATCGGTGTATCGAAATAATGATTTCGGAAATTTTGGAGTCGTGGTTGTTTTAGATTCTAAATAAGAGGCGTACACTTTAAAAATGTACATCTGTAAAATGTTGAGGAGTGTACGGAAAGCTGCTGGTGTCCCCCTTCGGCTATCTATGGGGGGTTCGTTCCCTTGGCAGCACGGATTGCTCTGAATTAGGTTCAAACCCTAAGTTCGTCTCCCCTTCCTTCAACCCCCCCCTAATCTGCCCTCCGCCGACTCCGCTCATCACGACTCCTGGAACCCGACCCTTCAGATTCATGGAGCGTCCACGCCATGTACCAGGCGTCGCGGCTGTTCGTGTCGAACCTGAATGCGCGCCTGGCCCAGCGGTTCCTGGCCCTGGTGCTCCTGCCCCGCGTGCGCGCGGAGATCCGGCAGCACAAGCGGCTGCACTTTGCTCTGTTCCAGGCGCTGCGGAAGGCTACTTACAAGCCCGGGGCGTTTTACAAGGTAGGGATCCTGTTTGGTGTTTGGTAGTTGTGTTAGAATCGAGGGAGCTGCGGGGCGGGGCTGTGGGAAGGGGGCGGGGGATGTCAATCAACTGGGATTCTTCTTAAGGGGTTCCTGGGACTTGATGACGTCTATGGATGGGGGCGTATCTGGATAAACCCCTGGTGTGGGAATGCGAGATCTTGAGTGGGGGCAAAGAGTGCTGTGTTGCTAGCGGGGATTGGGGATGCGGCTGGCGGAAGGGGGGAGGATTTTGAGTTGGCCTTTGTATTGTAGCCGTTCGTATTGTTCAAATGAATGAGAATTGTGTAACATCGTGAGTTGCCTGCCGTATACACGTGTTTTTCCTCTTGTTCCTTTTTTTTGGTATGCGCCGTAGGGCATTCTGTTGCCGCTGTGTCAGTCGCGCACGTGCACACTCCGCGAGGCGGTCATCCTCACGTCGGTGCTGAAGCGCGCCTCTCTTCCGGTCTTGCACAGCGCAGCAGCCCTGCTGAGACTGGCGCAGCTAGAGTACTGCGGTACGACAAGCTTTTTCATGCGTGTACTGCTGGACAAGAAGTACGCTCTGCCGTACAGGGTCATTGACGCACTGGTGCGTGGCGGGGCGGGGGCAGTGGGGTTGCAAGGGCCGGGCCAGGGGGGCTGTGGGGTATCCGGTCTATTGTTGTCGTCTTGGGAGAAGGGCTCGGGGCTTGGGCTTGGGCGTGATGGTGGGGTTGCGAATAACAACCATAATGCAGACAAGGTAAAGTGATATGTGTGTGTTACATGGTTGGGAAGCGTGACCCCATACCTGTAAAACTACCCATTCGAGCCGAAGGCCCCAAGGGATGTGAAAGGTTGGAAGCTGTAGGGTTCGTCGACATGTCTCTTTTTGATACAGCAGCTGCTCATGCCCTGTGGGCGCCTCTGATTCGCGCAGGTTGACCACTTTGTTCGTTTTGCCGATGATGAGCGGCAGATGCCGGTGGTCTGGCACCAGACAATGCTGTGTTTCGTGCAGCGCTACAAGCACGAGGTTCGGGCGGACGACCTGCTGGCGCTGCGGGCACTGTGCGGCAAACAACATCACTATAAGGTGCGTATTCATATTCGTGCTCATCATACCAAGGTGCACAACTTCAAAATAAGAGGGGAGAAGAGGGAAACAGAGGGTGTTGTTCCTAAAGGGAGATGAAAAACGACTTGGGTTTTCCTGTCGTGACTTGCGAGGGTGCGAGGTTGGAGACGGCGGGAATATGTAGGGAGTTGGGGAGTTGAGGGCATGGGGGCGTGTGGGTATTGAGGTCCCGACGTCTTGATTTCCGTCCTCGCTGTTGCCGAGTGATGACGCAATCATTAGATGACGAATCCGAGCGATGTCCGGAAAGGACAACACCGTTGCGGACACTCGAGGCAGTTGTCTGACGGTACCTGCGGACGATAAGGGGTCTGGGGGAAGGGGGAAGGGGAAAACGAGAGGGGGGCCGCAGGGAGAATGGAAAGGACCTGGTCGCCGTTACCCTTCCACACTGCGGCTGCTAATGCGGCTGCCCTACCGACGTCGTCGTCACCATCGCCGCCATCGAAGACTGTATTGTCCAATATTGTTATTGACGGCCTTCACAAAATGAAATGCAGGTGACCCCGGAGGTGCTTCGCGAGTTGGACCATGCTCTGGGCAGGGGAGGCGCTGCTGCGGCGGCAGGGCAGGCCGGCGGCGCAGCTCCCATGGCGGTGCAGGGCCCTGCGGCGGCGGCGGCGGCCGGGGGGCAGCCGAAGGGAGCGAAGGTGGGGAGCAATGTTGTGGAGAACGTGCGTGACATGCCGCCGGTGCTGATGATGGAGGACTAAGTAGACGAGAACGGCGAGCACGTGGGGGCAGCGACGAGAGGCGGTGATGAGGGTTACAGGGGGTCGAAGGGGCCCTTCTGGATAGGTGCGTGTCTTTGCTGCAACGGTATGTGGCTTGGGTTTCGTGTGGAGGCGCAAAGGTGGGGCTAGAGTTTTGGTGATTGTGAGCGAGCTGTCTGTTGTGCAGCATGTTTCTGAGAGCTTGAGGCAGGATGCGACGTGCGGGTAGTAGAGAAGAGCGGATGGCGGTGCTCGGTGTTAACCCCCTCCGCCCGGCACTAAGAGGTCTCCTTTAGGAAGGAAAAGACTGCTGATGCGCAGACAACGGACATTTGCGGGATATGGTTTTACTTCTCAGGTTATCATCGTAAGCTTGCCTGGCAGAGATCTTGAGGGTGGGGCATGGTGTTCGCGCGAAGAGGCGCGTTGGCGCTGATGTGCGACTGTGAGTTGGTGGAGCATGTTATCGCAGGCAAGCTGCACCTCCACAGGCGAACATTTAAATTAGGACGCGAGATAGAACTCCTTTGGAGTGGGGATGGAGTGCTGCGGCCGGAGGATCCATAGGACAGGCGTTGTAGAGGTGACGTGGCAGGTCGGTTAGGCAGGCGCTTGACTGGTGGAGCGGGTAACGGGTCGTAATGCAGCAGGCACTTATAGGAGAAACACGTCGAGGGTATGCGTGCGTATGTGTACTTTAGTTGTTATTTAGGAGTTTACGGTTGGGTGGTAAAGATCTGCTGTACTGGAGTATCGGCTGCTGGAGCGTAATTTCGAGTGAACGGTTAAGCGGAAATGCATTTTGTAACTGAGGAGCCCTCATTGTGTCCTCCTGCAGCATTTAGTGACGACAGATGGAGGAGAAGTACATGGCAGGGAAACGGAAAGGAAGCAAACGGTCTGAAAGGACTGGCCGCAATGCGAAGGGAGATGGACACATGAATAGATGGTGCCATTCTTTGCCAGCATCTGCCTTTTCCCCACGTTTACACGGTCTTTTGTGTCCCGTTCTAAAGGCCCGTCGCATCCCTTGCTGACCCCACAGTGGTATAATAGCTCGACGTTCAGCCAAGCCAGCCCACTCATCACTGTGTTTCTTGCCGTGGGAGCCATGTCGCAAATGTGCAGGCGGGGTTTTCTGTCGCCTCAGCAACGACTTTTGAGTTACACTAAACAGTTGCGTAACATGCTCTTCAACAGCTTGCAACAAGCCTCGGCACAACATCCGCTGCTGCGCGAGCCTTGGGCCCAGAGTTTGAACACAACACCGGCCCCCTACCTGCGCAGCTGTCGTGCCTGGTGCGGGCGTCGGCGATCGTCCACACCTACACTGAGACACTGACCGCTCCTGCACAAAATGGTGCTGTGGGAACATCGGTACCCTCTGGTCTTCGGCCATAAGGAAAACCGCTTTACTGACGAGCCACACTTCAGACCACAGAGCATGAATAGAGCGAGGTTTGGTGCGCCTCCCCCGTCTCCCTACGGCACTCCGCCAGGACACACGCTTCCGTGCTGTGTTTGACATGTCCCGCGGCCCTGGAATATCTACCCGTTTACCTCTGCATTCCGGCACGGCGCGCCGTACCATTCCCATCCTTTACACGCTGCGCTTCTGCAACTCCCATCCCAGCATCCCCTGCCAACTAAGGAACTGAAAGCGCTGAGGAAAACTCCTGTACTTGAGCAAAGCGCGCACACCCAAGCCTGCGCCCCTCGCAGATCAGTCCAGATCCCGCGCCATCCGATCGTGATCCATGCGCGGCGGCCGACCACCCTGCCGAATACCCTTGGGTCCCCCGGGGCCCAGGGGCCCACGACCGTCCTGCAGGTGCTGGTGCTGGGTCATGTGGCCGGGCCCGTGGCCATGTCCGTGACCGGCCGGACCCGACATTAGGTGGTGACCGGCCATGGGCCCGGCGGGTTGCCCGCCCATCGACGCTGCATGCGCATGTGCATGCCCATGCGGGCCGCCTGGATGCGCCGCCGTCGCTATCATGGGGTACGTGCCGGCAGGCTGGAAATATCCCGTGGACGGCGGTCGACCCGTGGGACTAGGCGGAGGCATCGTGCCTGGCGCGGCAGTCATGTACGGACCGACAGGGGCACCGTACGGCGTCGTCATGCCAGGCGCGCCCATCATGGCTAGACCCGGGGTAACGGCTGTGATGGGCGTGCCGGCTGGCGGCCGTGCCACATAACCGATAATTGGCATCCCGCCGCTGGTCGTGGCAGGGATCGCGACGGTTCCCGGGGGCATAGCAGATGCCACATAACTGCCGCCTGGTCCTGCCTGGAGCACCATGCTGTACCCCATGGGGGCCATGCCGGCGGCCGTCATGGGCGCCATAGCCCCAATGACATGGTGAGGAGCCATGGTAGCCGGAGCGACGCTAATAATGGGACCCATGGGACCCTCCGCCGCCATGGGTCCTTGCGGAGGGGGCGGCGGGACCTTGTGCAGCGCACCGGCGGCGGAGCTGTGGGGGTCAGCGGCCTTGTTGACCATATGATGCTCTGCGGCAGCACCTCCACCGGCCTTGTGGTGGTATTGATGGTGGTGATGATGGTAGCCATCCCCTGATCCCGAACCGGCACCAGTGCGGAATGGGTCGCCTCCGCTGCCACCCCGGTAGCCTCCGCCGCCCACGCCGTCGGAGATTGTGGAGCGGAACGAGTCCCCACTGCGATGGTACATCCCGCCATGCTCACGCAGCTCCCGAGTCATGGACCCGTTCCCGCCGCCGCCGTAGCCGCCGCGCTCGTGATGCAATGCGGCATGGCCGTGACCCATGTGCAGGCCGCTGCCCTGCCCGGCGTGACCATAATGCGCCTGCTGGGAACCCCCGTGGCCGTGACCATGGCTGTGAGCGCTGCTGCTGTGGTGGTAGGTGACGGTCAGCCCGTGCGCTCCAGCGCCCGGAATGTAGCTCATTTGCCCGCTGGAAACCGCCGTGGTAGCAGCCTGAGCGGCCGCAGCCGCGGCTGCAGGTGGCGCGGATGGCACATTCGATGCTGAGGCGGCCGCCGCGGCAGCGGCGCTGCTTGCCGCCACCGCAGCGACGGTTGCCGCAGAGGCCGCGCTGACGCTGCTCGTCACCACCGCCGCTGGGGCTCCCATTGCGACACTATTGCTGGTGCTGCGGGTTGCTGGTGCAGCCGGTGTGGAGGAAGCCGTCGTAGCTGTCGGTGCCGTCGGGGCGACAGTCACCGATGGCGGAGCGGACTTCATCGCAAAAGACGGCACAAACTCCTTGGCGTTGATGTTGAGAGAAAACGGCTTGGCGTTGGGATTCAGCTTCGATGACAGCTTGGGTTTGTTGCCTTCCATGCCATCCGCCGTAGCTGCCGGTGCAGCTGCGGTGTTGATCACAGCAGGAGTGGCCGCTGGCGCTGGTGCTGCCGGAGGTGCTGGCGTTGGCAATGCGCTACTAGCCGGCACAGCAGGTGACGCCACGGCGGCATGTGCAGGACCCGCGACCAGCGATGCAACGGCAGCAGCAGCAGCGGCAGCAGCGGCCGCTGCAGACGCTGGGGCATCGGCGGTAGCTGCGGGGACCGTGGCGGCGGCCGCCGCCGGCGCTGACTCCGCGCCGCTCGGCGCGGCAGCAGTACCGTTCCCAGCGGCCAACGGGGCGCGCTCTTTAAAGCTGGAGGAAGCCGCCTTCTTCAGGTCCGCACTGTGGGTAAAAGTACAGGGACAATGAAACTGAGAAACAGATGACGAGAAACAATAAAAAAATAGAGGACCTCTGGTTTGCTTCCACAACATGCAACCCGGTCTGAGTGCAATCGTGTTTCTTGCCATAAGCACCTTCGATAACCGTGGGTGCAGGGACCACGAGAACAAAGGCATCACACGTTAAGATAATAGCTAATATCATATCAGAAACGCCGCTGCTCGGTATCCCAAAACGCAAATACAACAACCCACATCAATGCCGTAACCACCAACCCAACGCTTAATGGCACGCACCCCATCTGGCCCAGTCGCTTCTTGTTCTGCTCCTCCTTAAATCGCAGGAACTCGGCTTGCGCCTCCGGGTCCAGCCGTACCTGCTGTAAAGTCAACGGGGGGCAAGAGACACGATAAGACATGGGACGCAGTGGCAAACCTGAAGCTCTTCACTCAAATCCCATGCCGTACACCCATAGGTGTATGTACGAAGATGCGCTAAGGTCATTGGCCTGGCCAGCACATGCGCGCTTGAAATATAAGCTGCAGGCCCAAAGCACCCTGTCATCCCCGTCCCGGATTTCGCTTTCATGCCTCTCAGCGACTTTTCCTAACACGTCGACATGTCACGTCGAGTTGCTATCATTGTGTTTCCCCGGAGGGGTAAATCACCACACACACATAGAGAAATGTAACACAGGACCGTTAAGAGTGGCTTATGGCTTGCGTCATGGCTTATGCCCAAGCGGCCATGCACCCACATAGGGCAGCATGTTCTGAAACAGCTTCCTCCTCCCCGTCCACGCCTATACCTGAGGTGCCCCGGGGTCCAGGTCCAGGGCTGAAAATGAGACAGGGTCTCCCACTAGCGGGCTCGCAAACACGGGCGAGCGGGACATCCCTAGCCGCGGGGTTCCGTACGGAGAGCTGCGAGGCAGTACGGACATCATCAGGTTGGGCAACGGAAAGGGGGAAGGCAGCGGACGTCATTCACCATACTGGAAACCAGGCCAAGTGCTTTGTCCCTGCCGGAAGCCGTTTCACGCACCCATACCTGCGGTCCTTCTTCGGCCAGGTGGTAAGCGAGCTGCGGACTTTGTTGACCTCCTTCCGTGGGTCAATGTCGATAGGCGCCGTGGCGCCGGCCGTGCTGCTGCCAGCACTCCCGCTACCCGTGTCCGGTGTGGGTGCAGCACCTCCCACCGATGCCGGCGCAGAGGGCACCGGCACGGGAACGCTCGTGGCCTTTACGGCCAGCAACCCACCTCCTGTACAATGTACAGGTCACGGATCGGGAGAAAATAGCTTCAATGAGAGTCGACAGCAAGGCCGTCTGTCGCCAACACCAACGCTATTTTTTAGTTCGGAATGCAAAGGAGCCCAAGACGCACTGTCAAACTCTGAAAGGTGCTAGTAAAAAAAGAGCGAAACCTCTATATGTACGAAACAACAAAACCTACTTAACTCCAGGACGCAATACAACACATGTCGTCCTAACTCAGTGCTCTCAACCCCACCCTGCCTGTTTCTTGTACCTTCAATATCAGCCAACCGGGCCCCGTAACACCCCGTAACCTACCCGAGAGATTGCCACGCTGGGTTTGGTGCTGGTGATGCTGTTGTTGCTGGTGATGCTGCTGTGCAGTTGCCAGGCCGCCTGCAACTGCCGCCACACCTGAGCCTGCTCTGCCCCAAGCTGCAACACGCTCGGGGACAGACTGCTGCGGCGCTCGCGCCTGGTGCTGCTGTCGCCGTTGCTGCTGCTGGTGATGGTTGGGGTGTTGATAGGGACCCGGCGCTTCGTCCCGAATGACTGCGCCGTACAAGGCCTCTTCGTCCACCTGTAATATGAACCAAATAGGAAAGTACACACATCAAGGAGCAAGGTAGCAATAAATTAGAGACGCAAAACCGCGAAAACGCATTGCCAGGAGTAAGCTTTTTATAAACATGCAAGCAAATTGGTTGGAAAAATGCTCTCTTGCAGAGCCACCCTCTATCTTCAGCCCCCGGTGCTCGGTGTTAGCGTATAGCGACGACGCGCCAGTGAGTGCCGCTATTTCGGAACCCACTCACATCCACGGACAGCTCCCCTCCCCGCTCTTCCAGTAGGTGGATATTCGTCGTGCTGGTAGTATTGCCCTGCTCGATTTCTTTGGCGATGCGCTGTGCCTCCGCCTCAGAAATCCGACACTCCTCGGGATTGATTTTTGTGGTGTAGAAGTGCTCATTCCAGGTTGTCTGCACCCCGAACCGGTCGCGATTGACTGCAAACTGGTCCCAGCCTGTGCTGTCGTTCGCGGACTCCAGGCTAAAGAAGGCCGAGTCGTCGCCCTCGTCAGGTTGCCACCGCTGTAGCTCCCGGACGCACCTGCGAACCCCCAGTTCGTCAGACAGAAGCGCAACAACGAATACGGCAACACCCTAGAATGTGGGAGGTTAAGTCCACTTGTAACTATTGTCCCTCCCGATAAAAAACACTAGTATTCCGCGAAAACCCGTCGGCTCACCCGCCACGGCCTCTGGAGATAGCCGCGTCTGTCTCAAAGCCGACATCGCTGCGGTCTGCCCCAGACAGATCCTCAGCGCTCAGCCGTACATCCTTTGCATAGAGCTGGACGAGGTCCGCAGCTGGGATGGTCAGGATAGGCACGGGCTTCTCCGCAAGGGCATTCCGGTCTGACGAGGTAGTAGGATTCTTTATAACTTTTGCGTATTTAAGGATAAACGACACACCAGTGCTGTCGTTATGCAATGACCCGAATACGCCTTCGTAAACCATGCCGCTGGACACCTGCGAGGAAGAGACGGCAGAAAGCTCACGGCGCTACCGAGATAACCGTTTAGGACAACCGATGGCCCCACAGGAATCATGTGACGCTACGTACACAGCGAGAACGCCTTCGGTCAGAACGCAGATTGCTTCCACCTGGCCCTACCTGCGCTTCCACCTTGTAGCCGATAAGCACGTTGCCAATGAAGCCAAGCCTATCAGCATTGCTTGCAACGCTGAAGCCAACTGTCTGGCGGGCTGGGTTCGACTTGACTGCTCCATTGTGTTGCAGTCCCCCTGCCGTTTGCTGGTGATGCTGCTGGGGCCCACCGCCCCTTGGCTGCCCACCGACAGCCTTGGCCAAGTAAGTTGACATGACGGTTTGTGATTGCGGTCAAGTCAGTCGGCTTGTCATTTCTGCGCTCGAAACTTACTTATGGAGTACGCAGGCGCACTCTGTCTGGCGAAAGTCCAGTAGAGCGGCCTGAGAACAAGTGTAATGGACGCAAGGTGTGCCAAGCCTAGGAAAGTCCATGACAAGTTGCATTCCGTACGGTACACGCCGTGGTCCAGTCCAAGCATGCAGCGGTTAGCTGTTATACTTTGCACGCACTCCTGAGAATCATCTAGGACAAGCTTGATATTTTACAAGCTTTTTTCCGGCATTGGAAACAGGTTGTCCTGGCTCTGCATGGGCTTGCGAATAAACCAGGGAAGCACAATTACGCCAAATGTGTGTCCTTTGCATAGGCTTATTTTCTTTTCAAACAGGACCAGCTCAGTAATTGAACGAAAGAATGCCATTTTGCGCGGGCTTTGCGTCTACTCAACTCATGCACACAACCCCGCTCAGATTGGAGGGATAAAAAATCTCACTAATCTAAGAGTTCTTTCCAGCTCTGCTGTAAACATGAGTACACTCTGTGCGGGGCTTACCCCCGCAGCGGGTGGGGTGACGGCAGACGGTCATGCCTGGCACGCCTTGGGTGCGCCACCGCAAGAACTACAGCTCGACTTCTGCCTTCCTACCGGTCAAAGCTTTCGCTGGCGGAAAACTGGTGACAACGAGTACACGGGCGTGATTGGAGAAAGGCTGGTGCGCTGCAGGCCGGGCGTTTGCGCCTGTAGAGGAGAGCTTTGTACTAACCAAATTCACCACGCAAGGGGGATAAGCACCCCCATGCTGCCCAGCCTAGCTCCGTGCGCCTTGACCTAAGAACCCTAAGGACCTGTCTCCGCCGTCATGTACGATTCAAATACAGCGCCCCACGCTGCAGAAGCACATGCCTGCCTGAATGTCCATCTCGGATTTCACCGGCGTTTCTCTACTCCACCCCCGAATCCCAAATCTCTTGGTTTTTCCACGGACCCACATCGACCTACGACCCATATCGCCTACAAAACCGCATTGGTCCTCTGCCATGGCTTCCCACCTCCTTCCACGACCCTGCACGTATGCGCGTATGCATGCCTGTGCGTTCACTTGCACAGTGACACCACATATACCGAAGGTACAACGAACTCAATCCACATGCGCTTTATGCCTCACGAGCTTGACCGTTATAGCTAGACCACTACTTCCTAGGAAGGTACGATTGCTTTAAAACACCTTTCGTGGCTCTCTCTCCATTAAAAATACAAAACAGAAACTTTGCTTCGATATGTCAGACCCAAACGATCCCAAACCAATTTCAATTTTTGAAAGTCGTATGCAGGTACGCCTTTACCAGTCCGAGAACGACGTACTGTTCCGTGTACTAGCACGAGGCCGAGGTGCCGACGCAGCCGAGGACGCCGCCGTGCTTCGCGATTACTTCAATTTGGATACAACAAGGCTGTGTCACCTTGCGATCGGATGGGCGGCGAGCTGCAGCCGCTTCCGCGAAGTCAGTCCCCACTTTCCAGGTCCGCGGGGATTTCAGATCCAGATCCAGATCCAGCCGGGTTACCACAAAGGGTGTCGTATGTGGGGGCCAGCGGGGTATATCGAAGCAACAAAATGTTGAACTGCCGGCAGACTATCCAGATTACAAGTTACAAGTTCCGCACACACGTGGGGGGGTGTCCGCAAAAGCCGGAGGGGGGCCCCCATGGACATAATGGACAGACGAGCCAAAAATGCACCAAGCAAGGGCCCCGGCGAGGTGAACTGATTGCCGCATGTTGCCCAACGGGCTACATCGGGTTATGGCTGAGAGATATCATAAACAGGGGGCGTGAGCAGGGTACAGACGTTCTCGCAGCTTTGCCAAGCAGATGCACCACTGCAGCACCGATTGCACATCGATCGGTCCTTCTCGGGCGGCGGCTCTATTCCTGGTTGTCTATGTTGTAAAGAGGCACCCGTGTTAGAGGCATCCAGTCCTGCGTGTCCCACCACCTGACTGTGGACACTACCTTTGCAGCCGCCCTGCTAGCATACAGGTCCAAAGGCCCTTCTGCGATTTGCGGTTTTTTTGGGGGGTGCTGCTCGCCGCCGTCCCATCTCCACCTACGTCCACCCTACCTCTCCCTCACCTGGCATCCAGGTCGTTGCTGCTTGGACTCTTTTACCAGTTGATTTGAGCTTCGCCTTTCTTTGCATCATCCTAGCATTCCTCACTCCCTCCGTTTCGCCGCCCTCCAGGCGCCCGCATGCTGCGACAGGACCCCCTGGAGTGCTTGTTCCAGTTCATCTGCTCGTCCAACAACCACATTTCCAGGATCCATGGCATGGTGGAACGCCTCTGTAGCATGTACGGCACCCCACTAGAGCCAACCACGGCGCCAGCGACCCCTGGCGCTGCCGCTGTGGCGGCTGCCAGCGGTTCAGGTGGGAGTACGGCAGCTGGAAGCTGGGAGAAGCTGTCGTTATTTTACTCTTTTCCCACCTTGGAGCAGCTAAGCCGGGCGACGGAGGAGGAGCTCAGATCGGCTGGCTTCGGGTAGGATTGGTCGGGATTGGCTCCGAAGACCTGCCTGCAGAAATGCTTGGGGCCCCGCTCTCTCTCTCTCTCTCTCTCTCTCTCTCTCTCTCTCTCTCTCTCTCTCCCCCATACCTGACGCTTTCTTTAGGTGCTTTGCGCCTCCTCCTCGCGAATGGAGGCCATGGCCCTTCCTGGTACATGTTCAGAGGCAGGCAGATGGGTGGGCCAACGTGGTGCACTGTGCGATGCCGCAAAAGGGATAGGAAAAGCGGCGCGTCGCATCGCAACCTCGCTCGGCGTTTTTGTTGCTTTTGCCTCCTTCATTAAGCAAGCGCTGCTCAGCGACAACAGTTCTACACGCGAAGGTTCGTCAACGCGTCTTCTTTTGGAGAAAGGTGTTTGTCCAGTAAACCAGTTTCTTAGCATTTTTCTCCTCAGCTGCCATGGCGAGACAATCGAGCCCAAGAAGTCAAGACCTGGACATTCCCTGGACTGTTTTTTTTACTTTTATGCTTTTGGTCTGGTATACTATAATCCGCCCTCCTGTCCCCCTGTACCGTCTGCGTCCTGGCTTCTTCGCCTCGGCAGCTACCGTGCCCGCTTCATCGTGGGGACGACTCGCGCTCTGTTGTCCAAGCCTGGCGGGGGACGTGCATGGCTTCTGGGCCTCCGAGACGTGGCTCTAGGGGAGGCGGTGGAGGCCCTGACGGATCTCCCTGGTGGGTAGAGGAATGGGAATCAAATGCAGGGAAACAAGGAATGAATTGCCGGTAGGGGCCGGGGGAGCATATGAGAAAAAGTGGGAGGTGGGAAGTGAACTGGAGGTGGGAGGTGGGAAGTGAACATGAGAAAGTGGGAGGTGGGAAGTGAACTGCTGCTAGTGTGTCCTTAAGAGGTCCGAACCTGCTGCTGGAGTGCAGCGCGATGAAGTCATCGAGGGGGTGGGGGATGTGTGCAAAAGCCGACGGAACAGCTGCCGATGGCCGTAGTGCCGTTTGCTGGGGGATGCAGGAGGAGGGGCCGGATGAGGAGTGGGTGCGTCGGCGGGCCCGGTGGGAGAGGAGGATTTCGGTTGCGGGAAGGAATGACAGCAGCCGTCCATATCTGGTTCCAAACTCCTCTTTCAGCTGGCTGCATCCCCCTCTCTCTTTCTCTCTCTCTCTCTGCTTGCCAGCCATCCGCCTTGCTAGGCCAACTTGCCGGGTTGCAGACTTGTGTTAACACCCGCATCGTCTCCTGTGGGTGGACTCGGCTGCGGCTGCGGCTGGGGTTCTTGTTGTTGTTGTTGTCCTCTTTCCTGCCTTCTGCGACCGCCAGGTATCGGGCCTAAGGTCGCCGCCTGCATCTGCCTCTTCTCCCTGGACAAGCACGAGGCCATCCCCGTAGATACCCACGTATGGCAGATTGCCGTACGGTACTACTGTCCGCAGCTGGCCGGCAAGAGCCTCACCAAGAAGGTGCACGGCGAAGTACAACAGGTCTTCGTTGAGCGGTTCGGGCCCTATGCCGGATGGTAAGGTGGCGGGTCGGGGGCCGGGGGCCATGTGGAGACGGGGTAAGGTGCCGATCTGGTTCCACATCTCCTCCCCGGGGCGTTTATCTCCCCGGGGCCTTTTGGGGATGTGTTAAGAGTCCTCGCGTGAGTTTTATGTCCATGATCCCACACTCCCTTCTACCCCGCGCCTAGCGCTCCTCAAGTACCTCCTCCTCCCCATTCCACTCCCGCCCGCCTGCCCCCCGCCCTCCCTCGTCTTACCTCTCTCGTCCTGGTTCGTCGTACCTCCCGCCCTCCGTCCCTCCCGCCCGCTCTCCCTCCCCCCACCACCACGTGCTTTTTCCTTCCGCAGGCTCTCACACGTGCCAGATAACCTGACTCTGACTCTCCTGCCAGGCTTTGTGATGCCTGCCATTCCACTCCGACAGTCTTCCGACGCATTGTTTCAACTGCACCTATTTCCGGCAGTGTTATCGCTAAGCATATGACACGAATGCAATCTCCAGGCTGTCTAAAAGTATGCGCTAGAAGATTTTTTTTATCGTGGCGTCGGCCCTGGCTTCCAGGGCGCACAACACCCTCTTCATTTCGGAGTTGGCCAGTCAACAGCACCGCCTGCCGGAGCACCTGCGGCAGGGGAAGAAGGCGGCGGCGCCTGGCGGGAAGCGCCGCGGTCGCGGTCAGCAGGGCAGGTCATCGGGCGGGAAGCAGAACGGCCACGACGAAGAGTTGGATGATCAGGGCGAATGTGAACGTAACAGCGAGGGTGGAAACAGCGGCGGTCGCGCCGCGGCGGATGTTGCTGCTGGCGGCGGTGACGAGGACGACGACGACGACGACGAGGATGATGAAGATGCGGAGGATGGGCCTGGCAACAGGCGTGGTGGGGCTAGCGGTCGCCGATACCAAGCGCGGAAGAAAGCAGCAGCAACAGCAGCAGTAACGGCGGAGCAGCCAGTAATGAAAGCTTGCGAAGGTACTCGGGACGGAGGGTCCCGGGGCTTGAGGAAAGCTGCTGTGGCGGCAGCTTGTGCGGCAGAGCAGGATGCGCCACAGGAGCCCCTGGTCGACGTGCCGGCCCGTGGCGGAGGAAGGCGGAGAGGGCCCGCCCGGCAGAGTCGCGCTGTGCCCTTGGAGCGAAAGACGGGACCGCAGAAGACGCTCCCGAATGGGGGCGGTAGCGGTGGTGGTGGTGGTGGTGGTGATGACGCTGGGCGCGTTTCGATGAAATCGCAGGTATCTTTGCCGTATGGGTTGGAGGATTTCGATGACCTTGTTGCGTATTAGGAGAATTGTATGCGCGCCTGTCGTTTAAAAGTAGGCATCGGTCACGGTATCCGTCAAGGGGATGGTGCCCATCCTGTTCATCCTACCATGCACCCTTCTCCTCTCTATGTGTATGAGCTTTTGTAGCTGTGGATGGACGCCACGCGAAGCTGCTGCTGCAGGGTGTGTGTTTGTGTTGGAAGTAGATCGCAGGGCGCATCGCTTGCAGCAAAACGCGGCAGCAGGCTGTGCGTGTGTATGTATGCGTATTTGTATGCTGTGCTGAAAGCGGGGTAAAATGCTAGGCTGTGTGTGCTTCGGCGGCAGGTTGATGTATGTATGTATGTGTGTTATGCGGCAAAGGGTGAATAGTGATGTGGGGGTCGGTAGAGTGTCGCCGCGCCGGGGGTAAGACCAGCAGCTATCGAGGCCTGCAGGTGGATGCATGCCGCCCCTTGTTTCCCGTGTTTGCAAGTTTATTTGTAGGACGAAATAATTCGCACTGCCTCAATTCCTGTATTTCCTTTTGGAGCCGTTGCTGCTGTCACTGTTGTTGCTGGGATGGGGTGTTACACTGTGGGGGGGCGGCTCGTCCCGAGAAAGGATGAGCACCGTCGGGGGCCCCTGACACAGTGCAGGGGCGAGCGCGCGGCACTACGTCCGTTGTTGATATTGTTGTTGTTGCTGTTTTTGCTGTTGTTGTGGTATCCCTTGAACTACTTCCTCTCCCGTGTGAAGAACTCTCTTCCTTTAATTGCCCCGTTTTCGGAGGGGCACCATCCTGCGGCGCGCGTATAGGTACCGATGGTCTGACTTCTTCGACGGTGTATATATGTATGTATGTGTGAAGTAGGGGGGGGCAGATTCACCCGTGGCCACCACTAGCCTGGCAGTCCCTCTACCTTCCCCGCGATGTTTCGGGGCACCCCCATCCTTCTCACCTATGCCGACTTCTTTAAAGTCAGTGTGACTTTTCGGGTTCAGCACCCATACATGCATATGGTGGCTGCGCTGTTTTAACTGTTACAGCATGACATGGTGAGTTGGGCGTCAGGAAGGCATGTTGCAATAATAGGGTTGTTGCTGTCCGCAATGTCAATAGGGTAGTGACCTGCATGCCTTTCTCCCCCTCTGGCGCTGACGCACGCGGGTCCATTGCGTACGGGTACGGATACGGACAAATGCATGTACTGTGCGCGCGTGTGTGTTTTCATGATCTGCGGTGCGCGATGCGGGAAATGCGGCGATCATGGTACAAGGAAATAAAACACGTGCTAATCTTTAAAAAATACACGAAAAAAGAGCTATGAGCTATGAGCCAGTGCCCACCTTCCGCCTTTGGGCGCGGTGGGAAGACCAAATATGTGGAGTATATTCCGCCCAGGTGGGACGCACTTCCGCTACCCACTGACAAATTTACTACCAACGATTTTCAAGAATGGAAATTATGTTCTCTGGTTCCGCTCTAAACCTTGTAGGGTGCATAAGGTAGTACAATAGAGATCGATCTTGTGAGCACAGCTGCCTGAGACGGTTAAAGAACATGATGGTGTCAAAGCATCGGGTATGGCTACATCACAGCTTTGTGTTTTGTGCGGTACGACGGTACGACACGCGAATACCGTCCTGAAGGAGAGAGTAATCTGGAGTTGGGTTGGTTTGAAATGGCTATGCGCTTGGTGGTGCATGCAGACCAAAGGACCTTTGCTCATTCGCAGTAGTGGATGGGGAAGGTTAGAGTGGCAGGTAGGGCCCCTGGGTTGGCGGCTTATTAGGAGAAGGGGGCGTCACCACGCGCCGCGCCGAAAAATCCTATATCAACTTCATTGGGCTTTGCCCCAACGAATACCCAGCTAGAAATTTGCTGACCGGAAGTTGATATATACGGCCGGCCGTTGTTATTTCGTTAAGAATTTGAGGCTTGAAGAATGTTTGTCTCCACCGCATAATGACCGGAATTCCTGGTTTACGGTGAGGGTTACTGGTTATCGTTAACGGTTGCACGTGTACGAACTCGTCTCCCTGGGCATTACATCCGCTAGGCTGCCCACGTGGCCTGCCTCTCCGCTGATCGCGAGCAAAAGTTGCCAAGCGTTCGGGCTAGTTGCCGGTACCCGTTCGGTACGGCACCATGGAAGTTTACAACTTGCCCCTTTCAATTGTAGCTTTCATGGATATGCATCTGCCGGTTTACATCTATGATCCAGTGGTGTGTTTGTGCCGTTGAAATGCGCGATTAACGAAACGGGTGTACGGCTTGCGCGGTCAACTTGCTGACTATAGCTGTGCATACACTGGATTGCCAGTTACTTATGATTTTTACTTAGCCTTCGTATACGATTTTACCTTGAGCGGGGTCGTTTCTTGACGTCGCGCCTTCTTCGCGGCTTTCCTGACTCAAATCACTGGTGTTCATTCTCCAGTTAGGGAAGCATTTTTTCTGTTGAACTGTTGTTCACCATTTTGCTGGGAGCTTACGGAGAAACCGCTCCCAGTCGGCCCCGCGGTCCCGTCGTTATGTTGTCAATCATTAGCATGAAGTAATATTTTATAGGAAAGCAGCACAGCCATGCGGACCGTCGTTGCTTGGCAGGAGACACCTGTAAGTGGCAGCCTTGCCGAAGGCATGTGTTTCTAGTCGCACCCTGATGAACCTAGCTTATTATTGATCTACACGACTTGCCAAACACAGCCTGAGAAGGACGGCATCCGTAATGTTTGTTATGACTTGTGCTTCAAACCAGGTGAGTGTCGCGTTCACATGCCGTCCAGTGAAGTCCGACAGCAGCCGGCTTCTGCTATAGAACCCGCAATCTGTCTGCCATTTTTCAATCATAGATGGATCTCAAGTCGTTGCCGGCATCGGCAATCGCGTTCTGGTCTACGATGCTGCGGACGGCGACTTGTTGCACGCGCTGAAAGGCCATAAGGTGTGACTTCCTGCACCCCGCATGAGATTCTTTGCTTCCTTTGCTTAAATTGAGGCCTGGCTCCTGCGACAGGACTCTATATACTGCGTAGCGTATGCCCAAAATGGAAAGCGCTTCGCGTCAGGTGGCGCGGACAAAACGGTCATCATCTGGACCAGCAAGGTGGGCTTAATATTATCTGGTTCCGGAGCACCGGAAATGGGGGTTGTGGGGCGTGCACCTGGCCGTGAAACCCCGACTCATGCGGTTCCGGGTATCGCAGGCGGAGGGCATCCTAAAATACACCCACAACGACGCCATTCAGTGCCTCTCATACAACCCGGTCACCCAGCAACTGGCCAGCGCTACTGCATCGGACGTGGGGCTCTGGTCTCCGGAGCAGAAATCCGTAGCAAAACACAAGGTGGGTCCTACCTTGGGGGGTCCCCTTCCCGTGCGGTTCTCTTCGATTCCTGGCCAGCGGCCGCCGGAAAATCCGTTCAACCCTTCGACCCCTCCATCTTCCAGAAACACTCCCGTCCCTGGGTTAAGAAGGGACTCCACAGTAGCCGCAGCTGCAAAGGGATATAGAGGTTGTCCCTTCCGAAGTCGTGCCTACATCTTCCTCGCCCTCCTCTCCCGGCTCTGTCCTCCTCCTCCTCCTCCTCCACCTGTTTCTGTCCTCCTATTCCTGTCCTCTACAGCGCAAAGGAATTACTAAGGGTTAATAAAGCCACATCGCTGCATCTAAAGCAGACAGCAGCAATCACTGCCAAACGTACAGAATGCCGCTAAGAACAATCAGAACAGCCAGCAATTAAATATGCTGCATCGACGGTGCCTTGACTGAAACCCAACTATGGCCATGATCATCGTGACCCGCGCGCGTTCGGGCGCCGGGCACTGCTCCGGAAACAGGTCGCGTCGCGCATCTGCTCCATATCCTGGACCGCCGATGGAGCCTACCTGGCGTTGGGGTGTTTCGACGGCGTCATCAGCATTCGCGACAAGGGCGGGAGTGAGAAGCACCGGATTGAGACCGGGCCATCGCCCGTGTGGAGCATCTGCTGGAACCCCGTGGTGGGTGCGGCTGTGGGTGAGGGTGCGGGTACGGGTACGGATGAGGGTGCGGCTGTGGGTTAGGGTGCGGGTCCGGGTACGGATGAGGGTGCGGCTGTGGGTTAGGGTGCGGGTCCGGGTACGGATGAGGGTGCGGCTGTGGGTGAGGGTGCGGGTATGGATGAGGGTGAGGGTGAGGGTGAAGGAAACCCCTGAGCAAGGTAAAGCTTGGGAACATTGAGAACTGTGCCCGCTCTCCGGCCAACCCCCGGGTGCTGGGAAGGGGAAAGTCAGGCTGTCCATCAAAAAAGAAAAACACCGTTTTGGAGGAGACGTGACCTGGAGCCCTGATGAGGGAAACCATGCTGACTTGGACTAGGTGGACACCGGAAAATGTGTTATGCATGAAGGGGGGGAGGCTACCGCGGTCCCTAGTGGAGCATCAGGGCGGGAGTAGCAGGCCCAGGGGGGAAGACGGAAAGGCTGGAAAGGGCGAAAGAGGGGATGGGGTCCAGGATTTGCAGCTGGTGTTGGCGGTGGGGAGACCTCGTGAAGAATGTTTTGGGTGGGAAGGACGGGAAGTTATGAGGGCTAAGGAGAGTCTGGGTGATGCTAGCGTGGGGGGACGCGGAAGGAAGTGTTTTAGGGTGATGACACGTCCAGACCGTGCGATGGGGGATCTTTCCAAAGTGTTCCAAAGCTCCATCGCCCCGTTTTGGAGGGCGTGTGGAGGAGGAAAAGCTCCGCAGGCTTGATAGTAAGATTTGACATATTAACGAGCCAAACGCGACTGACCCAGATCGATTTCGAACGTGCTTCTGCAACGTTACCTTCTTTTTACGGACTTATGCGAAGATTACGGCAAGGAGGAAGCCTGCGCGGGACTGCGGGCGTGCGTTGCGCATCAATGGGCCAAGGACCGCTGGGTGATTGCGTCAGATCGTTTCGCGACGACATCGTCATTGCACACAGCCTTACGCCCCCATGCAAACGGCCCTCTTGCTGACGTGTGCCTCATGCCGCTTGCCATCCCCTCCATCCCCGGGAGCCCCTTTTGCTGGTTTATGAAGCGGGTAATGACTAAAGTTGATGATGGCGCTATGTTTTCCTCACGGTCTTTGCTTCTTCTCGCGTACCTTTTCCTTGCGCGTCCTGCTGCGTCTATTTCCCGCTTACTCGCCTGCTCTCCCGTCCATCTACGCACCCACCACCTCGCCCTCGACCGCCGCATGAATTCATGACCTCATGCCTCAGGAGACCAACGTGCTGTGCGCGGGCTGCTTTGACGGCTTCCTGAAGTTCTACATGATGAGCGGGCAGCAGAAGAGCAAGGACCGCGAGCTGGCGTTTGACCCGCTGTGTGTGTCGTACTTCAGCAGCGGGGAGTACATCACCGTCAGCGGAACGGACAAGTAGGCGCGCGGGCGTGTGTGTGTGTGTGCGTGTGGTGTGTGGTGGGCCGCCGGGGGAGAGACGGAGGGCGAATGGGTGGTGCCGGAAGGCGTGGGAGCGTGGCATGAGGCCGACAGGATGGAAAGGATGTGACCAGCGGTGTGGTGTGGTGTGGTGTGGTGTGGTGTGACCAGCAGCGGGCTAGGTAACGGGTAGAGGAGGGAAGGCAGGAATCTCTTGGCATCGTTTTTTACAAAGGGGTTGACTCCGATGGGGGTTCGGTCACTCTTAGTCTCACTACCAAATCCGCTCGCTGCCACCTTTCCCTTTCCCCCGTGCTCTCCATCCATCCATCCACGCCGCCCGTCGCGGTCAAGGTCAGCCCCCACGTCCCTCTCCAGCTCCCTTGACAGGCTCTTTTTTGAGCCTGTCCCACCCCTCTCACCACCCGTGTCACGCCCACCCGCTCAATCCTTCCTCGTTCCGCTGCTGCTGTGTTTTCCTCGTACTCAGGACCGTGCACCTCTACACTCGCGACGGCACCTACCTGACCAAGATTGCGGAGCGGGATAGCTGGGTGTGGGCGGTGCGGCCGCGGCCGAAACACAACTTCGTGGCAGTGGGCACGGAGCTGGGCGGCATTGCCATGTTCCAGCTCATCTTCTCCACCGTACACGGCCTCTACCAGGATCGCTACGCCTACCGCGACCAGATGACGGATGTGATCATCCAACACCTCATTACGGAGCAGAAGGTAAGGAGGTGGGCTACCTGCCTACGAGATGTTCAAGGATGTCAGGATGTCGAGGCCTGTAGGTAGTGGGTGGGGAGGGGTAGTAGGGCGCCGCGCACCGCCGACTTTCCCACCCTCCCCTCCCGGCCGCTTTCCAACCCGGGCTCCCTTCCTAACCCCCCTTTCCCGGGCTTCCCCCCTTCCTTAACCACTCTCCTGCCCTCCCAACTGCGCCCTCCCACCGCTTTGGGCGTGTGCAGCTGGCTCTTTGCGTTTTCCACCGTCTATATGATGATGGCCCCGCAGCTCCCAGCGGGCTGCCCCTTGCACATCTCACAAACCTATCATCCCTCCTCCCGCAAACCTATCACCTTCATTTGCAGGTTCGCATCAAGTGCAAGGACTACGTGAAGAAGATTGCGGTGTACAAGGACAAGCTGGCGGTGCAGCTGCAGAACAAGGTGGTCATTTACGAGCTGGCCAACGCGGACGACTTTGACATGCACTACCAGTCCGCCACCAAGATACAGCAGAAACTGGACTGCAACCTGCTGGTAGTCACCTCACACCACGTCATTCTTTGCCAGGTGTGTGTGGGGAGGGGGAGGGGGAGGGGGAGGGATAGAAGAGGGGAAGGGAAAGTAGGGATGGTGTTATAATGAGGGGTGGAGAGTGGAGGAAGTCAGGTTGGGTGCGTCGGTTGATGGGTCTTGGTGTGTTGGCGGATAGGGGAGAGAGAGGGAATGGAGAGGGGGAGGGAGTCTGGAACTGGTTAAAATTTTAAATCCTCTCTTGGACAGTGTACTGTATGACTTCCGAGTTTTCTTCCTACGTTGACCCAACACACCATACTATTTCTGCTGCTGTTTCTGCTGCTGTTGCTGTTTCTGCTGCTGTTGCTGTTTCTGCTGCTGTTTCTGCTGCTGCTGCCGCTGCTGTTACTGCCGCTGCTGCTCCCACGCACCCACTCACGAATGGATGTAAAAACACGGAATGCCGGCCACAGGAGAAGAAGCTCCAGTTGTACAACTTTGACGGCGTCAAGGAGCGCGAGTGGGTGCTGGACAGCGTCATCCGCTACATCAAGGTCGTGGGCGGGCCGCCGAGGCGCGAGGGGCTCCTGGTGGGGCTCAAGAGCGGCGCCATCCTCAAGATCTTTGTGGACAACCCCTTCCCCATCCCGCTCATCAAGCACACCGCGTCCGTGCGCTGCCTGGACCTGTCCTCCTCGCGAAACAAGCTGGCTGTCGTGGATGAGAACGCAAAGGTGCTGGTCTACAATCTCATCACCAAGGTACGCGCGCATGCGCACGCGAATGTGTGTGTGTGTGGGTTCAAATCCTCTTTGCGAGTTTTTACAATTTGGGATGTTTCTAAAAGTTCATCGCGGATTTGTGTTTGTGGTGGTAAAAGGAGCGTTCATCACGAGCGTGTGCAAGTGTTGAGCTGAGGAGCGTCCTTGAAACCGGGAATCGAAGGACCATGGGCACGGTTGGATGTCATGACGCCCATTAGAGGGGATTGTCTATACGGGCTTGGCCGCCGACAACCGTGCCGTACTAGACATACACACACGCACATGCACATGCACTTACACACACACACGCATGCACGTGGCTCATATCATTTAATTCATCGGCACACACGCACACAAGCGTCCGTTATGTATGAACATGATGATGACGTGTGCTGTGGTGCGGTGTAAAATAAAAAATATACCCGATACCGATGTTACGGGCATTCCATTCGGTAGGCTGCTTGCACCTATCCTCCGATATTGTTGTATCGGTGAATCTGTTGATTGATTCCGGCCCAATTTGTGTGGTGTGCGGCTCACAGGAGCTGGTGTTTGAGGAGAGCAACGCCAACTCGGTGGCCTGGAACAGCGAATTTGAGGACATGTTTTGCTACAGCGGCAATGGCATGCTGTCCATCAAGACCGGCGACTTTCCGCTGCACCAGCAGAAGCTGCAGGTGAGGGAGGGCGTTTGCGAGTGCCGGTGCGTGTGCGCGTCTGTCCTTGTGTACGTATGTATGTATGCATGTCTGACTTCAGAGATGGAACCAACAAGCTGCGTGGTGGCTGTGGAGGAGAAGGTGGTGGGGTTCATTGGCGAGGAAAAGTTAGGGCCCAAGACGAGGGGAGATCCAAGCCGCGAAGACAATCACTTTCTTTTCACCAAGCCGCTCAAGGTTCATCCCTCATTTCATTTCACCTCCATGTCACACGTCGCATCCCGCGTGGTCCCGTCGGCCTCCATTTCCCCCCGAGGATATTTTCCTTTCCGTCCACCTATTTGCCATCTTGACGTCCTCTGGTTTCCCCGTCCCATATGCTGCCATCCTCTCACAGGGCTTCGTGGTGGGCTTCAAGGGCTCCAAGATCTTCTGCTTGCATTACGTGTCCATGCAGGTGAGGTCACGGGCATGTCGAAGGGCGCTGGGGAGGGGATGGGACGGGTTGGGATGGCCCTGGCTCTGCCCTCCTACCCCCCGTCCCGCCCTGGTCCCCATGGTCCCCCTGTTATTATGTGGCATTGGAGGTGGCAAGGTCATTCAGCTCCACAGCCCTTATCCCGCTGTCGCATCCATCGTGGTGTAAAACCCCTCTATGCTTGGTCCCTGCTGTTCTTTCTTCTGTCTTTGTGCGCTACACCAGATGCACCAGATGCACCAGCACCAGCACATACTGCTCTGCTTGCTTGTGAATAACGAACACCTCTCCGCCTTCATATCACCGCCTGCCTGACTGCTCCGCTCTCCTCTCACCTCCTCTCACCTCCTCTCACCTCCTCTCACCTCCTCTCACCTCCTCTCACCTCCTCTCACCTCCTCTCACCTCCTCTCACCTCCTCTCACCTCCTCTCACCTCCTCTCACCTCCTCTCACCTCCTCTCACCTCCTCGGCCCCCCTATGTCACAGACGATCGATGTGCCACAGTCGGCCTCCATGTACCGCTATCTGGAGCGCAAGGTGGGATAGGGCGGGCAAGGGACAGGGTGCCGCGTCGAGGTGTGGTTCTCGGGGCCGTTACGGCGCACCTTGTGCTGTGCTAAGGTTGGCAGTCGATTGGGCTCTCAAAACAACAGACTGCCCCGTGCGGCTTCACGGCCTGCCCTTCACCACAACGCATGGGCCGTTATTGCGCACATCGGAGCAGCTGGGTGTGCAAACAAATTCGCAGCTGAGGAAAGCAATCGCAGCTGAGGAAAGCAATCGCAGCTGAGGAAAGCATTCGTAGCTGAGGAGAAAATCGTAGCTGAGGATTGCAGCTGAACATTGCACACCGGACAGCTGAGTAGTTGTGTAACTTTGCTCTTCACACAGCGGCTGACTTGGCTTTTGATTTGGTTGTCCGCTCCTCCCTGCTCCTTGCATGTGCTGCTGGTGTCGTGATGCCTTTCCCAGGACTTTGAGTCGGCGTACCGTGTGGCGTGTCTGGGTGTCACGGAGGCGGACTGGAAGCAACTGGCGCTGGAGGCTCTGCAGGTGCGTGTATGTATGTATGTATATGTATGTATGTATGTATATGTATGTATGTATGTATATGTATGTATGTATGTATATGTATGTATGTATGTATATGTATATGTATATGTATGTATGTATGTATGTATGTATGTATGTATGTATATGTATGTATATGTATGTATGTATATATGTATGTATGTATTTATGTGTGTGTATGTATGTATGTATGTATGTGATTTAATATCCTGAGTCGCGGGGGACACAGTCCTGACGCAATTGAGTTATTTTTGTCTCTCTCTCCTCCCTTGGGACGGTGCTGTTGGCTGGCGGGGCTTCCCTGCGGGGCTTCCCAGCTCCTCTCTCTCTGTCTTCCCGCGCAGTCCATCCTTCGGCAGTTGACCCTTTGCACCGTCTTGCATTTGATCCCTCGCCCCTGCGCCCCCACTTCCACCCCCACCCTCACCCACAGGCGTTGAACCTGGATGTGGCCCGCAAGGCCTTTATCCGCATCCGCGACGTGCGTTTCGTGGAGCTGGTGAACCGCACGGAAGCGGGTCGCAAGGGGGGTACCAGCGAGCAGCTGCTGCTGGCGGAGATCATGGCCTTCCAGGGCCGGTACCAGGAGGCGGCCAGGCTGTTCACGCAAGCTGGTGCGTGGAACCGACTGGGAACGTAGCGCATAGCATAGCGCATAGCATAGCCCATAGGATAGCGCATAGCGTAGCACAGCGTGGAGTGGCATAGCGCAGTACCTTAGTCAGCGCCAGCGACGGGAGATTATAAGGTAGGTTTTGTACCTGTCACCCTTGTAAAGCGGCCAATAGCACATGCCGGTGGTATGTTAACGGAAAATGCGAAGAATGTTGGGTTTCAGGGCAAGGGGTGAAGCAAAGGAGCGCGCCTTTTAAGAAGATTCCCGTGTACCGTACTTGCCCACGCCATCCTTCCTGCCTCGCGTGTGTGTGCGTGTGTGTGTTTGTGTGCGTGTGTATGTGACGTCTTGCAGGTTACCCTGGCCAGCCGGTTAACTCCCCCTCCGACACATGCACACTCTCCCTGCGGCCTTCTCTCTCTGCTGCCTTTTCCTTTTTGCCTCCCTTCTTGTCCCTTTATGTCTAGCCTCCCTTCTTGTCCTTGTGCCATTCCCTGTCCTTTCCCACGTCCTTTCTTGTACCGTCGACCTCCCTCAGGATCTGTCCTGACCGAACTGCACGTTGTCCTCATGCCTCCGCAATTGGGGATGTTGCAGACCGTCCTCACCCGCCTAACTCCTCACCTTTCCTCTCTCTCAAGCATACACACACACGCGCACACACACACACACACCAAGCAATATTTCTTCCGCGCGCTGTCTGCAGGTTCGGTGGACAAAGCGATGGAGATGTTTTCTGACCTGCGCCAGTTCGATGAGGCCAAGAAGTGGGCGGAGGAGTTTGCCGCCAGCGGCCGCGGCGACCAGCGCAGCGTACAGGAGCTCATTAACCGGCAGGCGGAATGGAGCGAGGAGGTCAAGAACTACGACGCCGCTGCGGAGATGTACATCAAGGTGCGTGTGCCTTGCCTTCTGCCAGGAAGCGCGTGTTTGTATGCATGTATGTATGTTGTTAAAGGGTGGTTAACTTCGCCAGCGGCCCCCTTTCCCGGGGCCGTCGTTGCTCTCCCCTGCTAGAGGGGTACCCTAATCCGTCACCCCATCCGACTTCAGAATGTATTCGTTGGGTTCGGCAACTCACCACCAGCATCCAACCAAATCTAGCGGATCAACGGCGCATCAACTTAGTTCCTGGTCAGCTCGCAAGTTGATATTATCACGTCCTACACCGTCCATATGATGGGGGGCCACCTCCCATTTCATCACTCCTCAAACACCCGAGGAGCCGGCAGGCGGATTTGAACCCGGGTTGACTGGGTCGACTGGGAGCAGAAGTCAGGCCTTAACCTCTGCCAGCCGCCTGCCTGTATGTATGTATGTATGTATGTATGTGCGTCTGTCCGTCCGTCCGTCCGTGTGTAGAATGGCAACACACCGTTGAGTCTGTGTGCGTGTAACTGCGTGCATTTCGGGGATGGGGGAGAAACGGCATCACACACATGCTGGCACACCACCACCACCACCACCACCACGTACACAAGCCCCAGCACCCGCCGCGCCGCGCTTGGGTTTAAATTCCAAGCCTTCCCAAATCTCTCCTCTCCCTTTTTCCTCGTACTTCTTGTAATTGGACGTCGGCTGTAGATTCCTTCCTCTTGTCAAATGAATCTCCCCTTTCCTCCCTCCCCTGCTTCTTGTACATTCTTTCCTTGGCAGCAGCTTCACTTATTCGTGTTCGTCTTTCCCTCCCCGCTCTTTACGTTACCTGCAGGCCAAGAAGTACGATCGCGCCATTGCCATCCTGGCCAAGCACCAATGGTGGGACAAGCTCATCGGGGTGGTCAGGCAGCTGGACAAGACCGACGCGCGCTGTCTGGGCATGTGTGCCGGGCACTTCCGCCGGGCGTCGAACTTTGCATATGCCAAGGAGACCTTGCTCAAGATGGACGATACCAAGGTCGTTGGTCGTTGATAGAGGGGTTGGTCGTTGGCCGTTGGTGATGTGGGTAGATGTCGGTGGTCACTCCGCTGCAGATGTCGGTGGTCACCCCCCCCCGGCTTTGCGGCGCGACGCGGCGCAGTAACTAGCAGCCCCATCCTTCCTTCGCCTCACCCGCATTCCCTTTCCTGAACCCCCAACCTTAACGTGCTTCATTTTGCTTTCTAGCTTTCAAGCTCTCTAGATTTCTAGGTCTATAGCTTTCTAGCCGGGAACATAGCATATCCTTGTAGACGGGGCCCCCCCCTCTGGATTCTTGCAGTATCCTGGAGGGCAAATCACACGGGATCTGCATCCACCGATCGTTTCTTTTTGAAACAGGCGTGATTTAACAAAATTCAGGTGGATTTCGACGATCACGAGATGTTGAAGTATCGGTTTGATTCGGCCGTTTTCTCCTCCGGCTTGGTTTCCTCGAAAAGTTGTACAATCGTGACCAGATCCGTAAATTGAAGAGCTGTTTGAGCCTTCCTCCCTGCCCTTCTTTTCCTGCATTGCTGGCTGTTGTTCTGTAGGGCCTTATCACGTTATACGTGGAGGCTGAGAAGTGGGACGACGCGTTCCTCTTGCTGCACGCGCATCCCGAGTGCCGCCAGGACGTCTACCTGCCGTACGCCAAGTGGCTCAGCAGCCAGGACAGGTGTGTTTGCGCGCTGGCCAGCCGTACACATACACATACATATATACACACGCATAAGTGCAAACGCGTTATAAAAACACACAACTTTACACCACATGCCCTTCACTGTCCTTCTTCCTCTTCGCTTCACCGTGTCTGGCCTTGCCTCAGCTCTCCCACAGGCCCTCCACCTCCCCCTCCCCAACGTCCGCCCCTCCTCATCTCGCCTCCCCTCTTACCCCCTCCCCTCTTATCCCCTGCTACACCCTATCCCCCGTCCCCTGTGTCTTGCGCCTTAGCAATCCCCCACCTCGCTCCCCCCTCCCCTCCTTATAATCCTTAGGATACCACCTCACCCCTTGCTTCGCTTCTTGCGCATGATTCCCTCCCCTTCCCCCTCCCCTTCCCCTTCCCCTTCCCCTTCCCCTTCCCCCCCCAGGTTTGACGAGGCCCGCCTTGCTTACCAGGAGGGCGGCTTCCCCTCCCTCGCCACCCGCATCCTGGAGCAGCTGTGCGGCAATGCGGTGGTGGAGTCCAGGTTCTCAGACGCCGCCTTCTACTACTACCAGCTGGCGATGGAGGCGCTCAAGGTAAGGAGGACTTTTGTGTCCGTGTTTTCTATATTCATGCGTTGTTTGTGTACCTTTATTATATACGTGTGTAAAATTCTTGAGTACTTGGACGAAACGGGCTGGACTGGAGCTGCGGGAGCAGAGGAAAGTCCCCTTCCGGTGTGGTGTGTCATGATGTGGACATGAAACATCCCTCACGTCAAGACGAACGTCGTTTTTTTATAGGAAAGATTGCGATATAAGTAAGATTTATGCAGGACAAGTAGTTTGAATGGATTGTGTTACAGTGGGGCCCGACAGTCGGCCCCCGACCGGGCTCCCACCACTGTTGGTCCACAGCAACTCAAGACACTGCGTAGCAGATAAGCACGTGGCGGGTTTTTACTTCTCCGCCACGAAGCCCGCACTTAACCCGCCCACCCGAAGTTTTAATGTTTCGTTTTCATGTTGTACCTTGTCGTACCCTCATCCGCAGAGCATCAAGAACCCGCCGTCCGCCATGTCGCCCTCGGATCGCACCGCCCTGGAGCGCTTCACGGAGCTGTACGACCGCGCCGAGGTGTACTACGCGTACGACATTGTGCACAAGAGCGTGCACTCGCCCTTCCGAACGACACACCCCGACACGCTGTTCAACGCCTCGCGCTTCCTGTTGATGCGCACTTTGCCCCCCCGGGAGGTGCCTCTGGGGGTCAGTGTCGTCAACATTGTGTACGTCATGGCGAAGCAGGTAAATGGCAGCACGTGATGTTTGTTCCAGGTGCTTTATCACCTTTTCGTCGGAAGAATCCTTCCCTTGATTTCGGAAGATTCCGGAAGTCCACGGCTCAAGCCATACGTGGCTCTCAAGCCTTCCTAAAGCCTTCCTAAAGCCGCTCCCTCCATAATCCCCCGCCCCTCACTTTGCGCAGGCTGTGGAGGCTGGTGCCTTCAAGCTGGCTCGCTTCGCCTACAACAAGCTGCAGACGCTGGTGCTCCCCGCGGCTTGGCAGGCGGAGGTGGACCTGGCCTCCGTGGTCATCCGATCAAAGTGAGGGGAGAAGGCGGAGGGCTGGAGGGCGAGATGACAGATGGTCACTAAGATATACCAATACCCAATCACCATTTCGCACTCCTGAGAGGATGCAGGGGGAGGGGGAGGGGGGAAAAGACGAACCACGTGAACGAGTGAAGCTGCTGGCAAGGAAGGAGTGCTGCGGCAGGGGGAGGGGGAGGGGGAAACCGCAGACGAGTGAAAAGCTGATATCAGAGATAGACGGATACTCCAGGAGTATAGACAGATACTTACCGCAAAGGAAGAGAGATGGGAGGGAGGCATGAATGGGACGGAGGAGTGAGGGGGAGAGAGATAGAGATAGATAGAGGAGAGGACGGGGTCAACGAGAGGGTGATGACATGGTGGGTTTTCTGTCGCCATCTTTCTTCCCTACTCTCCTCTCCTCGCCGCTTCCTTCTCTCCCTCTCTCCTCCCCCATCACCGTCCGCGCACCTCCCTCCCCTCTCCTTCCCTTCCCGTCTTTTCCTTTGTCTTCTCTTCCCTGGTGCAGGCCGTTTTCCGACAAGGAGGACCTGCTGCCGGTGTGCTGGCGCTGCACCACCACCAACCCGCTGCTCAACACGCAGGGCGACTACTGCATCAACTGCGGGGCGCCCTTCATCAGGTAGGTGTGGGTGTGGGTGTTGGGGGGGAGAGAGATGGATAGATAGATAGATAGATAGATAGATAGATAGATAGATAGATAGATAGATAGGAGTTACATGGTGGGAGCTGAAGGACCAAAGGGTGGTGGAAACGCGGCAGGTGGTGAGAGGGATGGAATGGTTGGGTTTGTCGGCAGGTGGTGGGAGGGTTGAAGGGGTTGGAAGAGTCAGGTGCACTCGAGTCGTCCGCAGTGGAGGGAGGGCGCGGGGGCAAGTAGAGAGGAAGAGGAGCAGGTGGTAGCGTAGCAGGTGGCGTAAAGGGACGGAAGGAGGGCGGGAATAAAAGAAGCCGCAATCCAGCAGGGAGCTGTACTGTACTCGCGGCGACAAGAAGCTGTCGCCACAGCCTGTCACAACCTGATATCCGAGCCCTTCACGGTGCCCCACCCACCTCCAGCCTGCCGTCCCTACTACTCCCCCCAAACTGCACAGGTCGTTTGTCACTTTCGAGCACCTGCCCGTCGTGGAGTTTGAGCTGGAGGTGAGGGCCTTAGACAGCTGCGGGGGCGGGGGGTGGACTTGAAGAGTTGGCGCGGCTAGGAACGGGAGGCAGGGCCCCGGGGAACTCTTGGCGCTGCTCCAGTTGCCAAGAGTTGCCAACCAGCAAACCAACCGAACTCGGGTTTTAGAGCTGCTGAAGGTTTCCAGAAAGGAAACTTCTTCACAGCGGTTGATCCTTTGGACCCAGTCCTCGCAACCCAAAGCATGTATGTAGTAAGTAATGTGTAGTATAATGTACCCAAAGCATCTATGCATACATGTATAGAATCAAAACTCAACCAAAGCCAATGAAATTTGTCGTCCCAAGAGTCTGTAGTGAGCCCGGTTATCCACACCACACGTCAAGGATAGCGCCGTCCATCCATTCCCCAAATTTTCGTTCTACACCTGGACCCAACACCCCTCTCCCCTTGATTTCCCTTCTCACCGTCGTTGTATCTAATGTTCTCCGCACATCATCGCAGCCGGGCATTGAGGATGACGATGCGCAGCGGCTGCTGGGAGAGGATGCTGGGTTGGAGGCGGCAAGGTACGCCAATAAGGGTGTCGGGTTGGTGCGAAAAACACGAAAAGCAAAACAGACGTTATAACCCTGTGAATGCGAACGCAAATACAAATGCATTGAGAATCAATAACCTTGCGCATGCGGGGAATAAATAATCAAGTCGATAAAAGAAAGGACCCCGACGAATGCTATCGCACGAGCTCGGGGAGAGACCTCGCAAGAGCCGAGGCTAAGGCCTTGTGTTTACCTGTCTGTCTATTTGCATGTCTGCATGTCTGTTTGCATGTCTGTCTGTCTCATGTGCTTGTGCTGGTTCCCTGCTTCCAGGCGGGAGCAGCGGGCTGCCCGGCAGGCTAAGGCTGCCGAGATGGGTGGCAACGTGTTACGATTGGACCAGGACGAAATCAACCGCATGGATGACGCCTTTGCGGCTCAGATGATGGTGCCCAACACCACCATCCGCGTAGATCGGGCCATGTTGCGCCGACTCAAGACCGCGGAGGTGAGGGGCCCTTCATTTCGGCCGAAAAAACGGTTGTTGCGGCGGTTAGTACGTTCCAATGAAACAAACCCTCTTTACGTCTCCGGTAAGGCAGCCTGATGTGGCTCTGGCTGCGTTCCTCCTTGGGTGACCGCGTTAATCATTATATAATCCTCCTATAAAACCTCCCAAATACGTACATACGCACACAGATCCCGCTAGGGGAGCGTCCGTGCGCCTCTCTTTCCTGCTTCGTTAACTGCACAGAGTAGGCCAGGGCCGGGACCCTTTTTATTTATGTTCTTATCGGCCCCTAACCTCCCTCCCGCCTCCCGCCCTCCGTCCTCCCTCCCTCATCGTCATCACCACCACCACCACCACCACCACGACCGCCACTGCCGCCATCCACACGGCCAGGTGATGGTCCGCACCTGGCCCAACCCGGTCATCCCCCGCCAGTACTTCCGCGTCATGGACAGCGAGGTGCCGCTGTGCTGCGGGCCCTGCGGCCATTTCTTCGAGCAGGACGAGTACGAGATGGCCGCCCTGGAGCGCGGCTCGGCGCCTTTCAGCCGCACGACCGTGCGGCCCGAGGGCATGGTGCCGGGCGATGACGGCGACGACGACAGCCCCGCTCCCCCAACCGCTGGCGGCCTCGCGCCCACGAGCTCAGGTGCCGTACGGCTTGGCGGCGGCGGACCCCTAGGTGTCGGCATGGGCCCGCGGCCGAGCAAAGCGCGTGGGGGGGGCAGGTTGTAGCAGTAGCTATAGCCGTAACCCCCGATTTTGCCTAGGGCTGGTGGTGCTGTCTGTCTGTCTGTCTGTCACTCTATCTGGGTGCGGGATGGGACGGGTGCAGAGGCGCATCCTCGGTCATCATGGTCCTCTTCTCTTAGGCTTGGCCCAATCTGTGCTGATGTGGCTGCGGTGACCGCCAGTGAAGGGGTCCTGTGGTTTGACGTGGTACAGCGCGATATGCGATACGCATACGGCACGGCGCCCCTGAACATTCCTGGTTGGCGTTCTCTCGTTCCTCGTACTGCTGGCTGGCCTCTGCGTTGGCTGCATGCCTCTATAGGAGAGGAGGGAGGGAGGGGCGGTTGGGGACCGACGTGGGGAGAGCGAGCTGTGGGTGGGAAACGACGGGGGGGGAAAGGGGAAGGGCGGGAGACTGCCCTGATGGTCCGTTGTACGACGGCTCTGGGTCCGTTGTGGCGATCTAGACTGCGGATGGATGGACGAAGAGGAAGGAGGGAAGGAAGGGATTGCAGCGTGGGTTCTGGGTTGGGCATGCAGCGGTGGTGTTGGTGGTAGCGGCGGCGGTGGTGGTGGTGGTGGTGGTGCTGCTGCTGCTGCGGTCCAGGAGGCCCTTGGCTGTGCGCCCTCCTCCGCGGCGCGGTGCTTCCGGAGGAGGAGGGAATTCGGTTCTCGCGCGGCTGGCGGCATCGGCTGATGACCGCTGCCCTTAGGGATGGCTGCCCTTAGGGTGGCGAAGGGCGTGTTGGCAGTTCGGAAGTGAAATGAAAGTGACTCAAGCTGCGGGGCGGCGGGATGCCATTTTGTACATATGTGACGTCTGTGCATACACCAGCTATAACGGTATGGGCTTCAGGAGACCTTCAGTGCGCCGGGCGAGCGCGCCGAGCTGAGTTTATAAGCCACATGGACGACTTGGTGGCTGGGCCTTTGGAAAAATTGTCGGTCGTCGGCGTGTCGCCCGTCAAGCAATATCTGCGTCCGTTGGGAGGCGAGGCGAGCGCCTTTTTTTCGGCAACATGTCCCCGCGCAAGCAGGCAGCAGGCAGGTGTTGGTGTCGGTGTCGACCAGTGTTTGCAAAGAATGTTGCCACGGCTCCTTTAATGACAATGGGGCCTAGCCACGTCAGGGAAGAAGGCAAGGGGAGCGGGACAGGGCTGCTTGGCTTGTAGCCTTGCACGGCGACCGAGAAACCCAGCCGCTTTTCCCAGCCGCGGCTGCTGTGCAGCTGCATCCTTTAGGCAGCACCCCTGCCCATTCACAGCTCTCAAAAGTACAGCAAATCTTTTAGAGGCACCGCCCATAACGAGTATTCGTGGATAACGTATTTCAGAAGAATGCTTAATATGATTTTTGCATGAACTGACTCGAAACTAGTGAAGTTGAAAAAACCCGAAAAACCCATCACACCCTCACGCCATTTTAAGTTTTAGTTTTTTGCCCAGGCCACGCCACAACCGCTTCGTCCTTGCCTGTTTGTCCCAGTGATGCGTTTACACAGCTACGTTTCAAAAGGCGCACGGTACGACCTTTTCCTGCCTAAATGGAGGAGAACCGAAGACCATCACCAGCTCAGTGCTCCAGCAGAGGCTAGGGCGGGAAGCGTTAAGCACCGGGCCAGAAAGGCATGAGAATGAAGGGATGACTGCAAGGCAGAAGAGCAAATCCACGGCGATAGGTAACTCGTCTGCTTTTTTCCCCCGCAAAACCAAGAAGGAAAGGGACAGCACCGGAAAGGCCGCACCCTCCACGTAGGGCGGTCCGCGCGATCTGACCTAAACTTTTAAGGGCAACGCAGGATTCTATATACAATAAACGTCCTTAGACAAGTGCATCTAGCACAGCTGTGCTTTCGGTTTTTTTCATTCCCTTAAAGCACAGCTGCTGCTTTTCACTGTTAAGAGCGATTTTGGCTCAATATCGACCCAAATCCCACGAGCTAGCAGGCTTATGTCAGCTGGCTCGCGGTCCTGCCCAAATGGCTCGTAGCAGTGGGGATAATGCGTGAGATGCCGGTGGCTGTTCGGTGGTTCCCGACCGCCGCGGCGATTGATGGTTGAATTATGGACGCTAAACGGATTCCGTTCACTACGCGCTCTACGTGGCCTTGAGTTGTCAGCGCCGAGGTAATCCACTGCACGGGCGATTTGAGCTTGTAAAATAACAACAATTAGTGCGTGGTTGGACCTGAGTTGATGGCTGGAAGTGGCGCAGCTGATCCAAGCCAACTGAAGTTCGCAATCCGAAGAGACCGTGAGCCGCGGAAAAGAGATTTTACTAAGATCAAAGACCAAAATGAACAGCAAGTATGTAATAATTGCTTTCGGAATGAATACATAGTCGCGATTGAGCATCTCGCAGCGCCAGATGATGAATAAACACCGCCTCACGCTAACACAAAACCTAAAAAATACATCTTCCACGTTCTTTCCAAATTTAACCCTCTGATCAGCATCGACCAACTAAGCGGTTAGAGGCGACCAGTCACCCTTCTGATGTCTCCATGATCGACGTCTCTGTAGTCGACGTCTCCATAATCGACTTTTGCATGGCGCTGATATGAATTATACACCTATGTAACAAATAAAGGCAATCCAACAGCTCACAGGTACACGGCCACTAATCAGGCCGTTGATAGACCACTCCATACTTAGCTGATAGTCATTGCCACATAACCATCAAGACCTCTAAAACCCCTAAACAAACAATTATACACTTGTACTTGAACACGGTCGGGAATGAATAATGCCATGCTGCTGCTGTGCAATATTCCAAACCTGCATGTGTTGTACCATAAAAAGACGACACCCGGATGCCGTACACCTCCGTGCACGCGCATTCCCTCTGCTATTCCTTCCTACGTCCCCATAGCCGCCCAGATTAAAAGGCCGAAAAGCTTTATGCAACTCCTCTGCCCCGCCTCCGTTCGACACCGTAAAGGGTGCTACGACTGTACGACGCAAAGAGGGGCTGCGCTCGCACCGGGGGGTGCCGCAACTCAAAAAAAAGTGACACAAACACATAAGGTCGCTCGCGTTATGGGCTGCGCCTGTGCTGTGCAGGGAAAGACAAAAATGAATTTGGAGGACAAACCGCCAACTACCGCCAACTACCAAGCGCCAGGGCATCATCCTACAGAAAGCAGTCAGCGCGAGCGATTCGACCACTCGACCGCTCGCCGCGACATTTCAGCACGCACCGTTCGCCAATCTTTTGCATGATACATGTATTAATAAATAATCGCCTCAACCTCTTGCGCACTTCAACCAGCGGGATTTCCTAGGTTTGAACCACAATTCCATTTCGGTAAAGCGGTATTGCGGATGAGGAGCAAAATAAAAAGATTCAAGGCAACAACGGCATTTCATGGCAATCCTAACAAATGCTGAAACAGACTGTGCAGCTCCATAATGTGCAATATATATACAACTTTCTTATATAACTATATATAGCGAGCCGCAACAGCGGTCCAGACCGTCGCGTCCGACGCGTCGCGGCCCGTAACATTTTGCACCTACTTCGGACTAAAGCAAGATGCCGTACGCCATTCCCAGGAGGCTGCCGTAGCACCCATCCCATCCAGCTGTGAACGGCGGTTATTGAGTGCCGTTGGCGGTTGGTACGGCGGTTGCTAGGGCGGCGGTGATAGCGCGGCGCCATTGACTAAAGCGACGGTTAAGTCAACTTGAGCACCAGCGGAATCGCCGACACCTGCACAGTCCACAGGCCTCCTGCCGCCACCTGAACCACAGAGCTGAGGCTGACGGGCGCACTGCCGGCGCCGCTGACGGTCCAGGCCTGTGCATTTTTACCAGCGGGGACATGCAAGCGTGTGGTGCTGTACGCGCATGTATGTAGTGTTGCAATGTTGGTCGGGTAAAGGAAGGTCCTTTCAAAACTCGCGTATGAGATCACAATACAATCACCTTTCAATATATATAGTCCATGGCCTCCCCTCAGGCTTTCAAAGACCCCCCCCTCCACTCGTTCGGAACTTGTAACTCGTGATATGGTACAAATTCAAGCCCACGCCCACACCCAAGCCCAGGCCCTCTTCCTCTTTCCCCTCTTTCCCCTCTTTCCCCTCTTTCCCCTCTTTCCCCTCTTTCCCCTCTTTCCCCTCTTTCCCCTCCTCCTCCCCCTCCTCTCCCTCCTCCTCCTCCACCTCTTCCACACCTTCCCTCCTCCTCACTCACCGCGAATGGAGTCCTATTCAGAGGGAGGGCAGCCGCCGCCGTGGGCTCCTCCGGGCCGTCGCCCGCCGCCACTGGCCGCCAAACGACCAAATGTGTGGCGGCGTCAGTGCTGGCGTTGACCGGGCCCAGAAGGTAGCCGTACAGGTCCGTACGCTCGGCCACCACTCCCAGGAAGCTCTGGTTGCCCACCAACTGATGTGTTGTGACGGTTAGAAGACGGTTAGGAAGGACGCTTTAGGGAAGTGTGTTAGGAATTCGTCTTATTGCCTTGCTGCAAACCCGGATGACCGGGGGCGTAAAGGTTCATTCGGTTCGTAAAGCATGGAATTTTCCGTGGGATGAAATGGGCCCAAAGGTAGAGCAGCGATACGCGTAAATACATGTACACACACAAACACACACATACACACATACAAAAACGCACACATACACCACATACAAACACATACACACATACACACATACACACATACACACATACACACATACACACATACATACAAACACACATACACACATACATACATACATACAAACACAAACACACAAACACACACACGGGTGTACACGCGCTCCACATTACACCACTCAACCCCTCTCACCTGCATGAAGGCCGCGAATGCATCAAACACCGGAAGGCGGGGGAAGTTCGTGTTGTTGCTGCCACGGAGGCCGCTGCGGGCAAACACGCCAGAGCCCCTGCGCGCGGGTGGTGGGTGTATACCGCGGGCGTTTGTGTTTCGCGAAAGGAGGAAACCGAACCATCCGATATCGTCGACGTGTTCCCTTCCGCTTGTATGTCCGTACGCATGTGAGCGTGGCGGTGTAGGGGAAGAAAATAATGGAGTTGAAATCCGTGTCCGGATCCCGGCACGCCCGTGTCTCCGTGTACACGTAATCTCCCCAATCGTCACACCAGCCCCATTAACTTGTCACCACTGTCATCAGTGGTGGTGACTCATTACTCACTCGTCCGCGTTGGCGTAAAAGAACCAGTCCGCCACCTCAACTCCTTTTCGGGCGAGCACCAGCAACCCACGAATGCCGTACAGGGCCTGTTGCCGTACATCACGGGCAAGCAGTTAACTTGTTAGGAAAAGCGGGAGAGAATGGCGAATCGTTTTGCGAGGAAACAAGAGGGAGATGGAAGAAATATGGGAAAGGAAGAAAGGGCATCGATATTGCGCAGAAAGTGAATATACAACACCCTTTATGAAGAGAAGAGAGCACACAGCCGCGAAAAAAAACCAAACCCGCCTAAAAAGGATTATCAGTGCTGAAGGTCATGTAACATTACAAGTTACCGGGAGTACGACATCTACACAATCTTTCCGTACAGATGTCCAATGCAGCCGTCCTACCTGGGCATGTTGACTGACGCATCGTGTGGTTTCGCAGACCTCTCCCGGCAGGTGGGCATCCCAGCCCCATTCCGTAACCCACACGGGTTTGCCTGGCATGTTGTACGAGCGCCACGCCAGCATGTTGTTCACAGCTGAAGGCAAGGACGGACGTGGAAGGTGGCGAAAATGGCGCCAGGTTGGAGCTGTACGGCATAATGTTTGAAAATGAAAGACCAGACCCAGATAGAAAACATCTCTAACGGCGTTTGCAACATGGTTGAGGTGAAAGTGAAGACTTATAACAATAATAATAATAATAATAATAACAATAATAATAATAATAATAATATATAATAATAATAATAATAATAATAATATAATAATAATAATAATAATAATTGGGAGACGTAACATTAGCTGCTGAGGATGGTGCCCCATGTGGGTTGGTCGGACCTCAAGCCTCGAGCAGTACTTTATAAGGCCCGTAAGGATTGTACGGCTCGTGATGTACGGAAGTCTCTATTCGTACCATTCATGGTGCTGCCTGGATGCTCCGGATGCACTCCGATTATGGTGCCGTTCAGCTCTTGTGGTCTGAACCATGAGTACACATGCAGGTTGACGACGTCGATAAGGGGGGCAACGTCGGGGGGGATGCGGGCGCCTGCGGAAGAGGAAGAGGAAGAGGAAGGAGGAGAAAGGCGGACAACAATGTGTGAGGGATTACCGTCGTCATCACCACCGTCATCAACAACAACAACACCGTCATCAACACCATCACCACCGTCATCAACAACAGCACCTTGGCGACAAGAGACAAGAGAGAACTGGAAAGAACTGGAAACCATTTCCGTAAGGGAGGAGAGTAATCAGCGTAATAATTGTAAAATTGTGTGGGTGTGTAATGACGAAAGCAGCGCAAAGGGACGCAGGATATAAACCGAAACAACAGCATCAACAATCAAGCCCCGTGTGCATGTGGCTATGTGGACACGTCTGTCTGCCTGCAAGCAAAAGCAGAAACCACTTTCAGTACGTGGATAGGGTTCTTTGCGAAGGTGCCAATGACACGCCAATGGCAATCTGGGCGCGTGAGCAATCAATCCTTCGTGACAGGGCACCCGGGCCTTCACTCGCCATAGTAAGACACGAACAGTCGCTACGTAATACGGCACCTGTACAACTTACCAACGGAATTTCCACTGTTGTTGTCCTCGCCGTACGGGTTATCAGCCTGTTCGAGACGGAAACAGCAATCTGGTTAGGGAGCCCGCACTGCCGCCGACTTTGGCGTTGTTACATCATCGTAGAGAGGCGATACGGATACATCTCCGCGGGCTAGCCAGCCCCGCGTGAATGAGCGAGGACTGCAGAGCTAGCAACAACTCATGGTTCGGGTCAGGTGTCTGTCTGTCTGTCTGTCTGTCCGTACTCCAATACACGCGCTCCGCACTCACTCCCCCACTCCCTCCAACGCTCCTCCCCCTCCCCTTCCCAAACACCAAGCAAAACCACCCAGATGGCTACGACGCAACCATCCCCCCTCCTGGTTCATGTGTGTGTATCTGTATGTATGCATGTATGTATGTGTGTGTCTGTGTTCATGTGTGTGTTACACACCTCCTGTAGTGGCGTTGCCGCCCAGGCAACGTCCTAAGGGCTCTGCACCTCACTAACCGCAACACCCACCTCACGGGCCCTATACCTTACCTGAAGGGCGCACGGCAACAGTCGGAAGGTTGGGTCTGCATCCTTAATGCCCCTGGCGAACCCGCGGAGCAGCTGCATGTGAGTCGCAGTAGTAGTAGCAGTAGCGGGGAGTGCGTGGGGCAGTGTGCTTTAGGGGCGATGTTGGGAGAGGAAGAGGTTGAAAACACAGCGGTGGACAGAGAGGGGGGCTCCTTCCGGGCTTGCTGGCTAACTGGGGTCCTCATCTATACCGGTGAGGTTGTGCATGTGAGGATACAAGCATAAACACAAACATACATACATACCACATACCACCTGCACATGAACTTACCGAAGAGTAAAATGAAGCGTTGTATCCAACCCACGGCTCATTTCCAAACTCCACAGCATCCAGGCTCACGTTCGGCGGCGCGCGGCCGGGGCCAAAGTGCGACCCGAACGCGAACCCCAGTTTGTACGCCGTGTCGGTCGCGTTGGGACCCCACGTGGGAGGACCAAACACATCCGACACGAACTGAAAACTGGCATCCACCTGGATGCAGTACATTGTACGGCAGTGCATGTGCCGGAGTTATGAGCACACGTGGAGATGTGGCATGCGGGGGGGTTCTCGATTGGAAACACAGACGGAGACCCTCTTGTGTGGGATGGGGGGTTGGGGGGGTTGTGAAACCCTTGTTGTGACGAGATAACATTATTTATATAAATCATCCCCTAACGCCCGATGAGACTATGGTCCCATTTGAGTTCCTAGAGTAAATCTGGTCAAATAAATTATTTGAATTTTTTCCAAAAAGAAGGATCCCACCTTAAGTCCAGCTGCCTTCCATCCCACGTATTCCTTGTCCCAATCAAGCCACCAAAATGTGTCTGTGCCTGCAGCGTGGTATTAAAGATAGGGAATTGATAAGGGATTAATTACACTCTTGGCATTACTATTGGTATTATTCTTTTAAGGGTTAATTGATTTGCGGGCGCACCTACCCGCGTACCTGGTACCTCGTCACAAAGCGACCCTTACTCCCCGTGGGGTCATCGAGTCGTCATTCTTGCCCGCCTGGCTCGACTGGGCGAATATATAATATACGCACGTGCACGCAACAGCGCTCTAGCAAGATAGTCGTACATCAACGTACGACAACCAACACTTTTTATAAAACACTGCACTGTGTGTAGCACATAGTGCACATCAAACAGTTGATCTGCGCTTTACCACCGCCATTGCCACCAAAAGGAGACGTGCAGCTGTCAGCGACCCCGGTGAGTGAGTGTGTGGCGGCTTGTTGGACAGATCTCTATGCATCCCCGCCTTCCTTGCCTCCTCCCTCGCCCCTCCGGGCCGTGTCATTATTCGCCCCTCCGTCGCGCTCCCCAGAAGTCCTGGAGGTCCTGGAAGGAGGTCCAACCGCGCACCGTTTTTCGACATGATGTCGTACTTGGGATTGTTGCCCGGCGCCCTGACGTCCCAGTTCATGCCGTGGTAGTTGCGGCCCCAGGAGGCCACTGAGGTGTACATGTCGGGGCCCTTGCCCACCCTGGAGCAGTCAGGGTAGGGGGGACGGCAGGAGGGAGGGCAAGGGGGAGGGCAGGGGGGAGGGCAGGAGGGGGGGCAGGAGAGTCGAAACGAGGGGTCGAACCCCGAAAGGGTAAATAATACCAAACGCAAGAGCGACTCACTTGTGCAAATTGTTAGAGAACTGGTTGAAGCCCCAGCCCCAGATACCGTTGACGCCCAACATGCCTCGGAGAGTCAGGGGGTGGGGTGAGGGCGCAGGCGGCGCTCCCCATCGGCCGTACACGTCGTACGCGTCAATGCCCCAGACGTAAACCTGAGAGAAGTCCCCGCGGAGGAGGAGAAGGGCAAAACCGGGTTTGGGGATTCAGAGGAGGCACGTCCGGCGTGGGATGAACAGGTCTATACACGTGTGGCACGTTAGGGGGATGTCACTTCAATAAAACATACACATGCCGTCCCATAAACCGACCTTTCTCCAATCGGCATCTTCCTTAACCTTGTGTGTGATCTTCAGGTAACGAATCTGCGCGGGGTGGTGGTTGGAGAGCCGGCTCAGAAAGGGGAGGGGGGAGTGCCCCAGCAATACACATGGGGGGTGTCGAGGCGCTGGAGAAAATTTAGGGTTTTATGGGGGGGGGGCCACCTTCCCGGTTTCCATCGCCTGCTGACAATGACCTTGACTATGATCTTCCATGCTACAGCAACAAAGCCCGAGTTTCCTTTTCTTTTCTTTGCCAAGGGAATGATTGCTCCTCACGACACGTCACCCTGCTTTCCCAAGCTGGCTCATGCCTCGTGCTGCGTCTCTTCTTTAACACACCATCATCCAAGTCCCAAACATCCAAATTATTATGCCAACCACCATCCTAAACACCCAACAGCATGGCAAATCGCAAACATCACCCACATAGATGACCGAGGGCAGGTACATCTCCACCGCCTCCAGTTGATCGGGTTTTAAAAATGCCTGCATGTACGTAAGTGTGTGCATGGGTTGGTTACTTGGTGGTTAGATTGGTTGGTCAAGTCGTCGTCAAAGTGCAAGCCCGGTTCGAGCGATCGATTCAAGGGAATTAGGGTCTCCGAAAAACTGTCCGCTTGTTTGCCTGTTGCTTGTCAACGAATGTCAACGAAAGTCATCTCCCCCTCATCTTGGGGTGAGGACAAACAACAAAGAAGTGGCGATGCGGGAATCGGTCCAATCAATGAAAAGAGACGAGCAGCCCGTACGTTTAAATTCAAACAAATGGGAGCTGTATAAGTTGAGCAGGAGGTTGACAATCAGACTGTCGTCGGATGCAGTACAGCACTCGTACTTGTCTCCTGCACTCCCACTGCTGCCGTATTTTTGCTCAGCCACCCAGCCGTACACCCACCCACTAGCCGTCAGGCTAGGCGCGCACGCCCGCTCACCCACCCACCTTCATCACCGTCCAATTCACTCCATCCGCCGACACCGACATGTTGGTTTGCTCAGCGTCCACCGACCAGTGCCGGAACCTGGGATAGCAGTTGGTTGTGTCGGTTGTCGGTTGTCGGTTGTCAGTTGACAGTTGGCAATATCAGTTTTAGCGAGCGCAGGTGGAAGTGATACAGCGTCGGTGGACAACACCCCACTCCTCGCCCCGTCCTGCCCTCCTTGAAACGCAGCCCCCAACCCTAAAACCCCTGGGGGAAACAGGCTCACCTGAGGACCCCCACCTCCCTCACGCTGCCCATGTCCACCACAGCCCACTCCATACACGGGCCGGACTGCACAGCGACCTCCGTGAGGGTGAAGCTGCCGTTGCTTTCCAAACGCAACGCCACCACGTCCTGAATGCCCAAATCCCGAAGCCGCGAGGGCGAGAGGGACAGAGGGAAGGAAGGAAGACAGATTGTAAGGACCGTCGATATCTTATGGAAAAAACACCAGGGTCATGGTAGGCTCCCTTTCTTATGGGCCCACTTGCAGTTCCCCAAGTGCCCGGCAAGGCAATCCGGGGAGTTCCATGCGCCGTCATGCAACATGTAACATTCCCAACATGAAATCTACAACAATTGCAGTATGCAGAAACGGTCCAATATCGTAACGCCAAAAAGAGCGGTTAGACTAGAATACATACTTACCACCACAACCACCACATCAACAGACGCTGGGTCACAACCACCACATCAACAGACGCTGGGTCACAACCACCACATCATCCACCTTGGCGCTGAAAGGTCAACAACGCCATAACTCGTGTCTTTCCCTGAAGACTGCTTTCTCCGAAACCACCTCCAAAAATGGCTCCGAAACCACCATCTTACCTGCCATTGACCGGTTACCGACACCCAGGCGTAGTTATCCACGGCGGGGACCATGGTGGCCACTTGAACCCTCTGAGCAGCAGAGGACCCGGAAGGCTGCATCACCAGCCACACCGTTACGTTGGAGCTAGAAAAGGCCTTATAAGAAACACGCGTGACAGCCCGCGGGCCACCGGGGACGGCGGCGGCGAAAAACGCCGCGCCATCCGTAACGCCCGCGGCGACGCGCGCGGGGTCGACGGCAATGCTCGCTCCAGTGTAAACACTCAAATCCGTCGTCGCTGGCAGGTTGGACGAGCCGGCAGATGCCGTACAGTACGACGCGGGAGCGCCGTGGGGCCCCGTACCGCTGCAAAGCTGCATGAGCGGGTTCATGGAAGGGCGGCCGGTGTAGCCGGTTGGGAAGCAGGCGGCACTCTGCCACTGCGTGTTGTCGTTACCGTCGGCAATGTGCGGCAGCGCGTCTGGATCTGGATTAGACGACACAGTGACGGTCCTACGGCGGGCGGACGGGGAACGTAGAAATGCCCACACGGGATGCAATAAGGGGACAAGGGGCTTGGGGTTTTAGGGTCTTAACTGAGAAAAACGATACTGGCAACCGTTACCGTTACCGTTATTCGTTTCCTTGGCGAGCAAGGAATAAGAGAAAGGGTTTTGCGTGGTTCATAAAAGTTCCAAACTGGCGAGGCTGGTCCGGCGAGTCATCATGTGCACACTAAATGGCGTAAATCCCGTCCATAACTTCAACCGAATCCTTAACTACATTTCTAACTGAATCCTCAACTACAACTACAACCGAATTTTTAACTGAAGCTCTGGCCTTATGAATTCGTTAGAGTCTCACCCTTGGTAGCTGTACGCGCGGACTATCCCCGCATAGTTGTTCCATGAAGATGGGGGGGGTGAAGGCGGAAGAGGGGGATCTGGCGGATTGGGTGACGGGGGCGGGGTGGGACTTGGAGGTGGGGGTGGTGATGGCGACGGCGGCGGCGCAGGCGAGTAGGCGTCAATGCCCCACACGTATACCTTGGCCCAGTCAGTTTCCGCCACCTTGTGCCGTACAGTCAGGTATCGCGCCTGCAGTGTACGACATCGAAACGCCACCAGAGATTTAAGCTAGGGAGAGAGCCTTCCTGGAGCTACGTACGGCATTTTGTTCTCGATCTAAGAAATAGAGGACATGTAAGAGAAAAAAGGAACTACGTTAGGCGCATTCGACGCGAGGGAGAAATTTCCTTCCCACCAATTTAGGGTTTACTATAGGGTTTGAATCCTCTTTAGGATTCAAAGGATATAAAGCCCACTACCTCATGGCCCCAGACAACAAAACCCCAGATCTCCCCAGATGCCCTCTCAACCCCTCTCTCCCTCTCTTCCATCCCCCCACAACAGGTGCCGTACCAGTACGGGGGTAGGCAGCGTCAACGTCAGCGCTCCGAGACGGGTCGGATCGAGCGGCGACAAACCCAGCAGCCCCGAAACCACGTCGTCGTACGACGCGCCATCTGTCGAGGCCAGCAGCCACGTGGCTAAGCCATTCTGCCCCGGCCAGTATCGGATGCTACGAAGGAAAGTGGGAGGAAGGAGGCCTGGTAGGCATTCGTATTGGTACGGCGACAGAGACGAGAAATACGAGAATACCACGACGAGACGAGAATACCACGACGAACAAAATGGTTATTTTGTGAAGTGTACGGCAGTCGTTGTCGGGATGAACCCAAGGCGAAGTGCCGCCTGAAGTTTCAGTGTTTAAACCCACCATCCCGGGATTCTCACATTCCAATAAGCAAACCATCCCCATCCCATGCAAGCACGTATCTTTAATTGCTCTATTTTGTTTACAACCCTCCCACCGAGGGATGTTTCCGAGTTCTTCTGATCCCAAAATCATCGTACCGAATGGATCCGATGGTTTGTACGGCACCCAAATCCACAGTTGCGTTTTCAAAACACGCGCCGTACTGTGCTGCCAGTTCCGTAACGGAAAACGCGGACGTCGAGTTGATGAGAAGGGACACGACGCCCGTCCATTGTCCGAGTGCGGGTACGAACGAATAGCTTGTGAGGTTGTAAAGTACGGGCACTTGCGCGCCTGACGCAAACTCCAGGTACAGAGTGTTGGCCACGCCGGAGGGAAACACGCCACGAATCCCGACACGGGTTATGTTGGTAGCTGATGGCAGGGTAACTCTGAGCCATGCGGATCGGGTGCCGGTAGGCAACGCAATAGAGGCACCGCTAGTGCTGAGACTGCCGTCAGTTGCGCCGTACAAGTTGGACGAGCCCGTTGAGGCGGTACAAACGGCTGAGGAGTTGCAAAGCCAGTAAAGCGCGTTCATCTCACGGCGCGTAATGTACGATGTGGGGAAACAAGCGTCACTCTGCCACATGGTGGTGTCTGTACAGGCGGGCGGAGTGGGCGCACAAGAGCATGCATCGGAAAGGGGCTTTCAGCAGCAAGTCAGCAAGCACCTTTCCCGGCAGCTTCAAAATATTCGTAGTCCGACAGCTGAATAATTGTTAGTGTTTCCCAGTAACTAGGTTTGAGACAAGGTGTGTGCGAGAGGAGAATTGAAACGGCGTGGACGGCAGCTGCTGCCGACAAGGCTACACTTGATCAATTTAAGGTCCAGAATCGTAAATAATAATACATGTACATATACTGGCATCCGCACCGTTTCCATCTCGGATGGCTTGCGCCGTGGTCGCGTCGTAATTGGATGAGAGGAACACAGTCGCGTTCCTTGTGAAAGAGCCAGCAGGAGACTGCGCATGTGCTTGCAGATATCCTATGATCAGGAAGAGAAAAACCCGAAGCCAAAGTTGAGAGCGCATTGTGCCCCCTATTTTAACCATTGATAGTGACTTCCGTTGAGTATTACAAGAATGAGGTAAACATTAGAGAATTAAGGATCGGAGAAGACATTTCAACACTTAAACCTCGTTGTCAGAGAGTCATTTTCATCTTAACGCATATTGGGAAGGTGTGCCGAACATGCCGCGTCAGTACCGTACCCCTTACAATTTGTAATACCTTCACGGTCATCGATTACGATAATCTCCATGGTTCGTAGAACAGTCACATTTCATGGCCCACGCAGCAGTCAATATAATGGAGAACAGGAGTCGCGGACTCTTACATTGTCATAATAGCGATTTTTAGCCATACAGTAGTAACTGTAGCTTTACACGGAAACACAGCTCTGGCTGGACAGTGGACAGATATTTACAATTTATTAATTGAACTGGTGATTGTTGGACTTTGTAAAGCAGCGAAACTCTTAGGAAGCTCTCGGCTAGGTAAGTGCAGGCTAGGTGGTTTAAGCAGCAATCCATCAGCCAGGCGTTGATCGGGAAGGGCATTGGTTCGTTAATTACATCCAGGCAGATCACAGCCAGATAGATGCGAGACAACCGGCTGGTACCTTCCTCAACATATTGACTTATTATTACAACATATTGACTCCTCAGCATAGAACTGCGGCGGTTTAGCTGGGCACTACGGACTTCGCGTGTTTCTTTCTTTGGTATGTTTTTGTTTGTGCTGAAGACATCGATAACACAGTAAATAATACTTTGTGCTATTATTAGTAATAAGCTTTAAAAACGCACATACGGACGTAAATCAACTGGCCAAAAGCTTTACTCATCTCCCACAGGCAGGTAGGTATAGTTGTCAATCGTTATTCTAACGATACGAGCTAGGAAACGCTAGCGTAACCCAGTCATGAAGTCCGTGATCACAGCCGAACAATGGTCCTAAAGGTCCGCTCGGCCGCGACAACGGTAATGAATTATGAATCATGTGCAACATGCACGAAAACGAAAACAACCGCGAATACTTCATTAAGTAATACGGACGTCTTTTGTTTAGCGGCCTCATGCAGCTGCACATGTATGTAATCTGGCAACTTCATTATGCATGTACCCTGCGGTCACGAACGCGCTGTTGGACGCCCCGACCAACCCAAAGGAGAAGTCTGAAGCTCTTTGCCTGTGGAGATGATGAAAGCGGGGGTCTCGCTTCACTTCTGCCATCACCAGCTCTCTCCTGCGTTTCTGGCTTTCCTTCATAACCGGCACTGGCATGCTTGTTGCTGCCTAATACGTATCTATGATATGGGGGTCATCCTAGGAAGGAAAACAACATTTCAATACGGCAAATCAGGCAAATAAATCCCGACAAGGAGCAAAACAAAACCAGTCAAACCCCCAGCCAGCCTGCCCACCTGCCCGCTTTCACCCCGGAGTGGCCGCCAGCTCCAAAAGTGAATGGAAAGTCTGTATGTACGATATTGCACCCTTTTGAGTCCGTAAGTCCCTAAAACCCAAGTGATGGGGTGACCACTTCAAATCGTTGTCCATCAATGTCCAGATGCAGCGCGACAGGCTGTGGATTCCAGTTGGCTGTGCGGGGCGCTTTTGACAACCGAGTCCCTTCACCTTCCCTTCCCTTCCCTCTTCCCTTCCCTTCCCTTCCCTTCCCTTCCCTTCCCTTCCCTTCCCTTCCCTTCCCTTCCCTTCCCTTCCCTTCCCTTCCCTTCCCTTCCCTTCCCTTCCCTCCCTCCCTCCATCGGTTTTAGGGTTTTCTTTTCTTCCATATACATCTTATTATTGTATAACTTGTTGATCTTGATGGTTTCGGAGCGATCTGGCGCCTGGGACATGGTCTCGGGGCTTTTGCTTCCGGCACACAGTTGTTTCGGAACACATTGACGGACTCTGTGTACATGCTGAGTGGCTTGGGTGGTTGAAGGGACGAGAAAGGGATGGATGGATATAGCTGCGTTGCGGCCTGGCCTCAGTTAGGCATTTCAACCTTTTAAACCCCAGATCTGTCTTTGACCTGAAGAACCTTCGATTTGACCTCTTTTGGCGCCCCGCCCATGCACCGCCGTGTCCGTTAAGGGAATCTTCTGTCACATTAACTACATTCGTCCAGTCTCGTCCAATTTCCCCTAAGAAATGTAACTCCTAACGAACTATTTTAAATGGATCCGGTAACTAAGCCCACCCCCCTGTGTCGACTCTCTTAAACTTCCCACCCCAATTTCAAAATACACATAAACACGTGCCAGACACGCCACACGCTCCTCCAAGCCTTGATAACAATTTGAAGAACAGAGAAACAGTTCCCGATCCAGAAGCTGGGTTCGATGCGCGACCGGGGGCTGCTTTGCACGACGGGTCGCTCGAAAATGTGGCGCTGGGCGTTTCGCCTTAGGTGCACCTCCAATATGTACGGGCTTGTACGGCTAGTATGGGGCTTGTACGGCTTGATGTGCCTACCAGGGCAGCCGCAAGCCGAGCTGCGTGTATGTCTCCCTTTCTCTGTCAGTAGTCGTATGTCTGTCAGTCTGTCCACTAAATCCGCCAGCCTAGCCCTGCTTTCCTGGCTTCCCCCGCACCTCTCTTCCCTACCTGCCCCGCCCGTTTCCTGCTCACCCTCCTACCGCCGCTTGAGAGCTCTCCTTCCCGTCTCCAACCCCCCCCCACACACAGCCCTCTCCTTCGCGCCAAATCACAAAAACTTCAATCACAGAATACAACAGTCCTCCGCTTCCATTTCAATTATACCCCTCCTCCTCCTCCTCCGCCTCCACTCGCCACTAACCCATTAAAGCTTTCTCCTCCCCTCCTCCCCTCCTTTCCGCCTCCCCCTCCTTCCCCCTCTTTCCCCCTCCCC